AAATGCAGATACTGACATTCAATAAAAAAATTCAGTAGCATGTACATAGTGTACTTCTACTGGTAAAACACATATTTAAATTAAAACTTTTTTTTTTATATTAGAATAGTATTATTAGTGTAAATAAAGTTTTACGGAAATTTGGACATCAATGATGATACCATCTCAATTAGTATTAGAAAATTTTTTTTTAATTTACATTTTATGGTCCATCATAGCTGATTGTATTTACATAAGCTTATGATGGTATTAATATAATATTAAATAATATTAAAATAATATTAAAATAATTTACATAGAATATTTTATATAATATTATCAAAATATATACATATATATGCATGTATATTTAGTATATATATACTTTTTATAACAATAAAGTTATTTCTAGTACTATCGTACTGAGCTGGAATGAAATTTGAATATATAAGGAATGATTTTCATAAAATTTTAGGTAATATTATTATATATATTCGAAAGTACGAATATTGAGCCTTATTCTAGTTGTCGCGTCACTTACGTGACATTTGTCGTTGTCGCTGTCACATCATTTGAAATGTGGTATTCTGGTTGTCGAGTGACGTGAGGGCGAGAAATAATCGTGAAAAAGAAGCGTTTCAAGTGAAATTGATACATTTTCAAAAGAAATTTTGGCGAGTAAAGTTCAAACTAAAAAAAAAAATTCAGTGTATATATTTATATTATTAAATAATAAAAAATATCATTTGCATTATGGTTTACGGGTTCATCTCATTCCGGTAGTGATGAAATTTTAAAAAAAACAAGAATTAAGGATCAAAAGATTTAAGATTAGCGACAACTGTAATCCATTGGATTTGCCAAATGGAGTGTAAGCCATTATAATCATTTTTTCAAGTAAGTTTTATTTTATTCAAAGATTTATAAACTATTACAGACTTCCAAAGGAGGTCTTTGAATATTTACTGAATATATTCGAAGGGAAAAACGAGTACCCGTAAAAGGCGTTCTCTGTCATAAAATTTCCAATTCTTCAAATTTATAAATACTTTCACGCTAAAAACAAAAATTAAATTATATATTTTATGACTTGATTTATGTATAAAATTAATTTTTTTATGATTTTGTTACATTGTTTTGTTTTAACTTGCATTTTTGGTGTATCCTTCTTGCTTATCACTTGTTAAATACTTTTCGACAAAAAAAAAAACGTTGTTTCACTACGACATATCTCGCATCAGAACGACAAATGGAATATGACTGAAACACATTTTCCCGCTATTGCCCGACAAGTGTCACTGCGATCACCGCTTAGAATATCAAATTCAAGTCGTAACGACAATTATCGCTCTACTTCGACAACTAGAATAAGGCTCATTGCTTTAGAATGTAATATTTAATTTTTATAAATCATTATTAGAAATAAAATTTTATAAATTTTGTTAAGTTGTGATTGAATTTTATAGATTATATACAAAATGTATAAAAGTCAATTTAATTTATACACGTTGTTAAATAAAATAATGTTTTTTTTTCCTGATCATTAGTGATCTAAAATTTGAATTTATACTATGGAAACCTCATTAATAATTAAGCAAACAAAAATTATGTCGTTCCAATACTAAGTATGTATATATGAATCGGAATTTAGGTAGAATCTATGGCTTCAAAATTACAATATTATTGTACATTACTATATACAAAATTCAGAAATTGAAATACATAAATTACATTTACAAAATAAGTTATTGATTATTTTAATTATTTGATTATAATGAATAATTAATCATCGTGTTGTTGTCCATACATTTTGGTAGTCACTTTGAGACTTCAAAATAGAGAGCAATTTTTTTTATTGTATCCTAATTTAATATTTTTTGTATTTTTTTTTTTTTTACAAATTTAATTTATTTTTCTTTTTGTACGAAGTACTAGGGATGATATTTGTGAGCTTCTATGGATATCCAAAAAGCAATTTTATAATTATAATTATTACATGTATAATTATTACATATATATGTATACAGTAATTTTATACTTCTGCAATATTAAGAATTTAAAAATGGTACATATAAAAGAAATTGAATAAAGTAATACAATTAGGAAAGATTGCGGTGCATCAAATGCGTACACTATTATCAAAAATTTAAAAAAATTGAATTTATAAGTTGTTAAATTACACATATGAAAGTTGATTTTGAAATCTCCTTTTGAATATGATAATTAATATTTCAATTAACAAATAAATAAGTTGCTTTTTTTATGTTACAAGAATTGTTGGTGATTACAAAATTGCATTGATTAGTTAAATTGCCTATTAATAATCAGTTTTATTCTACCAGACGCGTCACATTTTGTTTTTTAGAATTTAGAAAATAGTTTTTAAATAAATTGGTGGCAGAAAAAAGTATAAATAACAAATAGTAAATTAGAGAAAGATGAGTTTGGGGTAACAGCAGAAGTGAAAGTGGTGAAGAAAATTAATAAAATAAATTTTCCGATAAAAATTTGAAATTGCTGTAGATTGATTAGTTTTACACTGGAATTAATAAAATTACTTAATATTGTTATAGTATCAAATTAAACTTATGTCTTCTCAATTTTCTTTAAATTTTATTTTTCAGCAATTTTTATATCTCCGTCAACAACAAAATATATGCGACTTAATGTGACAAAATGTGATAATTTTCAAAAATGCATCTAGCAAAATAACATTAAGGAAGCTTTTTGTAAAAAATAGTCTCAGGTCTAGTATAATACGGCTGATCGTATTACTGCATTTTTAAAACTAGAAGTTTTATAATTTAAATGAAAACTTGAAAATTTAATAAAACAAAAAGTAATCAACCTTATTTTTTTCTTCTAATTCAATATGTTCAGATTTTTATATCTTCAAGATCTTAAAAAAAAAAAATGTACTATTTAATACAAAACATGCAACCGTTTAAAACTTAAATCATACACTGTTTTTATACATATAATAATGGTAATTTATTATACCTAGTTTCGAAATTGCAATAATACAAAATTAATTTGAAGAAAATACAGTTGAGATTACGGGTAATATTATTAATTTGTGTAATAACGCAATTTTTAAGTCGTGGAATGTGATAAATACAGTATTGTTAATTTTTTTTTGAATTTTGAAGTTAATGGAGTTAAAATAAATTAAAATATCATCCCTTATATAAAAATTAGTAATTTAACATTTTTTTTGTTTTTCTTTTCGTTTTATAATTAATTAGATGGATTTATTTAAGCGGTAGAAAGCGCAGTGTATAATTTTATATAGAAAAGTCTGTATTTTTTTTTCAACTTTTTATGTTTTATTTCTTATACTAATTAATTTCTTAATTTTTTATACTATATTACGTTTTTGTAATTCATATTCCCTTTTTTTTATATTTTATTTTGTTGAATGTCATAAATGGAATTATTCTTAATTTTTTTTCCTGATAAATTAGAATTTATATTTGTTTGTTCATTATTTGTATATACATTCACATTTATTCAATTTATTCACTTACATAAAAGGTTTTGCAAAAATAAAATCGGAATTTTATTTTATTTTTTTTTTGTTTTACCATAATATGAAAATATTGAAAAGATAAAATATATAAAAATAATTATATGCACAATTAAAAAAATTTCATTTTATAAACATAAATTTTCGAATTAATTTAATCTGATAAAAGTTTTTAAAAACAAGTAACACTAAAAAGACACTCAAAAGAAATGCAATAATATATTAACTTATATAGATGGTATCAAAATTAAATTCATATTTGTAAAAAACATGAATTGAATTTTGAAAAAACGAACATGGTATTCAATTTAATATGGGGTATAAAAATTTGTAGAATTATTTCTCAAGTGCTGTAATTTTCTATAAAAAGAATATTGCTTTTAATTGTGTAATTACACAATTTAGTGTAAATAGAAAACAAATACAAAATATAATTACAAACGTAATACAAAAACAAAATACAATTTTGATATATAAATCTATCTACAATAATAATTAAAATAATAATAAAAATAAAAGAAAAAAACATCTTACATTCACTTTTATGTTCGAAAATGTCCGACATCTTCTTTTCTTTGAGAAAATTATATACTTGACATATTCAACTTTCAAAAATTGAATCATAAACTTATAAAAAGTAAACTTTAGTTTTTATTTTTAATTTGTTATATCATAAATTGATTAATAATTTAATACATTATATATCAAAAAAAATACTCCATAACATTATTATTATTATCATATGTATTTATTAATATTTTCTAATAATTCTTTAGGAATTTAATTAATAAAACCAAAAATAATTAAGTAATAATATAGGTATTTTGAAATAAAAAAATTTTTTTTATTTTTTAATTTAATAAACACATAAACTCTCTTTTTAAATATAATTTTGCATGCACTAGAGATATATCGAAATTCCGATTGAATTTATTGTAAAGCCTACAAAGTAAGTAAAAATAATTTTCCAGATTTTACATTGATTTTTTTTATTTTGAGATTTTCTAATTAAAAAATTTTGTGAATTTTCTTATATTTCATTTTTTTTTGTTTCTTATTTTATTTGTTATTTTTTCTAAATGTTATTCCATTCATCACCATTATTTTCATCATTATCATAATTTTTACCATTATCATTCAGTTTTTTTACAACTTCATTTTTTAATATTACGTTTTTGTTATTATTCTTTTCATAATGTAAAAGTTTTTTTTTAATTTTTTAATAAGTAAAGCACATTTTCTGTTACTTCAATTTTTTTTTTCATTTATATTAGTTTAAACTTATAGTAAAAATATTTCTAGCATACTCATATAATTGAACCGCTTATTAAAAATTTGAAATTATTATAAATTTACTGTATAAAAAAATTTAAAATTTAATTAACGAATGAAGTAAATTAATACCAATTTTAAATTTAAATTACGCGGTTGAGATATATGTACATGAATATGGATGATATATATTTATACATGTGGAAATTAAATATTCATTTTCAAGGTAAAAATTTTCAATTTGATAAAATTATGATGCTAAGATCCGTTTAGAAAAAAATTGGTGGACTTATTTTACTCCATATTGTAAAAAAACAGTTCTCAAAAGGCGTTCAAACTTGAGCTTTTAGCTTTATGCACCAGATCGCCGAAAATATGCTTAAATATTTAAAAAACGAAATTAATAAAAAGCATTGGGAAATTATTCAAGGTGCTTTTTGCTTTTTTCAAAACAATTTGGAAATTACTAAATCGTCGAAAGCTTTTGAAATACAATATAGAACATGAATCATTGCAGCGAAAACGTTTTTTTCTGCAATGTGGAAATCAGGTATACAATTATTTATATATATTCTCACAATTTTTATATTTGGATAATAATTTATAATTAAAACAAGAAAAACAATATTATTTATGTTGCAAATTATGTCCCATTTTCGTTGTTTGAATTTTGAATCTGATTGAATTCAGAGTTTTCACAATCCTTTGTGGATAACTTAGATGAAAGGCAAATTTGTAATTTAAGAAATGTAATTAAAATTTTGATTTCCACATGCATATATATATATGTATATATTATATATATTCCACATTTACATATATATATATAATATGTACATAAATGATTTTTCGGTTTTTCGTTTTTTTTTTTTGCAATTTTATGTTTTATGTTATTTTCTTTAAATTCATTTTTCTTTCATTTAATAGTTGAATAATTTATTTAAGGTATATACAAGAATACACACAAGTAACAAATCTATATATATATAAAGTTTATTATATATATACTTATAAAATGAATGTTCATAGCAATACACATATTTATATGTGATATGTATATTATATGACATATATTACATTAGATATATTTATATATACATAATATTATATTACATATGTTATATTAGATATATTTATATATACATATATATATATATATATATATATATATATATCAAATTTTTAAACTGCAGGTTTACCAAAAAGTTGTAAAATATTTAGCGGAAGGGATAGAATGGGAGGATGAGGATGGGAGAATTTGTTAAATTGTGTGTATTGAATCTATTTTTATGCCGCCTTCTAATTTTTCTTTTTTTTTATAACTTAATGAAATGTTTTTTTGTTAATTTAATTTCTAACTTTTATGACAAAAATATATATTATATATTTTTTTGTTTTTTAATTTATTCGTAGTTTTTTTTAATTAGCTATGGACTATGTTTTATTCGTATATCTTTTTTCTTTACTACGGCCAGTTGTTCGTATTGAGGCATTATGTATACCTACACCTTGTGCATTATTTATATCATCTAATGCCCGGAACCTAACAAATCCATGTTCAGCAACTAACATACTACCGCTGTTAACACTATCACCACTTATGCTGCTACTGCCACCACCAGCACAACCACCACCATCGCTATCACCACAGCCACCATTTCCGCCATTACTAATGCAATTACCACAAATGCTACCAGTGTCACCATTAACAATAGTGTTATTGCTATTATTACTATTACCATTAATTGTATTTGTGCTAACAATTCCATTGTTGTGATGAAAATATTGTTGTTGTTGACGTTGCTGTTGATGTTTTTGTTGTTGTTTCATTGAAGTAATGTCATTATTACAACCAATTATTAGACTATTTGGTGTTGTTATATCAGTTAAATTTTCACTTGTACTCATAGTTATGCAACCTGTAATATCGTTACCACTGCTATTACCACTACAATGACCGTTTATTAAATTTGTTCGTTCAGCTTGGTTGTTACTGATCAATAGAATTTCCTCATCAGACTGTAATGTATACTGAGCTTGCTGTTGCTGTTGTTCGTGTGGTTGTTGTTGTTGTTGTTGTTGTGATGATGAAAGTTGGGGATAATGATTATAAATACTATTTCCATTAACAATACCATTGCTGACACCGACAACACCATTACTGCTACTACTATTGCCACTACCTGGACCACCACCAATGCCGCTACAGCCACCTCCTACTCCGCTACCAGAATTGCCAGTGATAGTATTAGCTCCCTCTAATGAAGATCTTGAATTAATGCCACGATAAAAATTACTATTATTACCCTTTGAATTCATTCTACCTGAACCACCACTATTACTACTACGATGTGATAAACTAAGTGTTTGAACTCCAGATGGACGATGATGCGAATGCGATGAAGTTGATGAAGAAGTACTACCATTACGACCATGTATATGAGTTGAATTTGCTGTATTTACTCCAGCTCCAATATTATTCAATGTTCCACTTTTCCTAACACCACAATTACGACGATCAAAAGAATTATATTGTGCATAACCTCTCCTACTATTTCCGTTACTAATATATTGACCACCACCACCAACACTAGCACTAATATCACCACCACCACCACCACAACCGCCTAAATCTCGATCGCTGTCACCATCAATATCCTCATCACCAGGATCATCATCTTCACCATGACCTCCACCACAATCCATGTCATTAACACCTGCACCACTATTGCATCTAGCACCAAGGCTATTCATACAGGAGTGCGCTGAATTAGAGCTCCTACGTTCTGGATTTTCATAACTCGATCGATCTAGCTTTGTATTACTATGTTTTGATTTATGATTTAAACCACTACTACAACTAATATTATAATCAATTAATCTGGAATGTATTCTTTCAGACTGAAAATTTGGACGTTCAAGATTTTGAAAATCATAACTTTGATCATATGAAATTTTTCGGTTTGTTGAACTATTATTATTATTATTATTGTTATTACTGTTAGGTATGTTTAGTGGTTCAGAATAACAATTATCCAAATTAGAACCACCGCCAGCTGTGGAATAATGTAATTTAGAACCACGTAATTCAAAATTTGGATTTTCATAATGATCAGTCGTTGAATCATTGTTACCTCCACATAAAAGATCTGAACCAATTTGACTGTGGCTAACGCTATGTCGGCCAGATCTTAATGAACTTGTTTCATATGTTCTTACAAAATCAGAATGACTTTGTTGTTGTGATTGTTGCTGCTGTTGCTGGAAATCATTCAAATGTGGAACACCGCCAACTAGATTTTCATTATTAGTTACCCCAGTATTTGCGACACCGACTGCTGTAACTAATGGGTTTGCTCCACCGCTATTATTAGAATTTTGTAAAGAATTCAATGCAAAATTATCATCATAAATTGGTTTTCCGGTACGTAATGTATATGTATGTAAATTTGTATTGGCATTACATACAGCTGGATAATCAGTTTCGAAATGTTCTTGACTAGAACTTGATGTACAAGGAAATAATGCAAAACCAGATATATTATGATGATTTTCGTGACTACTTCCACTTGATGTGCCACCAATATTTTTCTCACGTTGTAATACACCAGGCGTACCACCCGTTTTGAGACCAGCTACCCATGACATTAACCATATAATAGCAATTTCAATTAAACGTAATGAAAACTGATAACCCCACTGTAGCCAATCAACTTCGGATCCACCAGTTGTTATATTAATTGTACGAGCTGTTGATATTGATATTGCACCAAATATTTGCAATGCAGCTAATAATACAAATAATAATGCTGTTGCTATTGTTATATGTATCGCATATGACAAATTTTGATATCCATGTATATAATTTTGTGATTTACTACGTAAAACACGTTTTAATATTCTATATATATACAAATAAAGTAAACCTAAGCTTAGGCATACAAATATATAGATAATTTGACATATTAATGATAATACTCTTGGTGGCGGAGGTGGTATTGTAACTGGTATACCACCGCTATTCGATGCGACAACATTTTTTATCAAATTTGTATTACCAACATTAACATTATTTCGAAATTGTTGTTGCTGTTGTGGAGTGTGTTGTTGTTGTTGTTGCTGCGCTTGTTGTTGATGCTGTTGTTGATAATAATAATGTAAATGACTGTTTTGTGCTGTTGTGTAACTTTCAACTAAATGTAATATAACACAAAGTAATACATGAACTAAACTTCCAACTAAAACAGTCAGTGGCCTTATTAATGTTGAATAACGATTTGTTTTATGATTTAATGATCTAATTAATAAAAATAATATTAATATTGAAAATGCTATTGTTAAAAATGTTGCTGGTAAATTTAATAATAATTCCGATATAAAAATTGGAAATGATGAATGAATGTTGTATGCATCATAGATTAAATAAAATATTCTTGATATACATATTGTTATTAATATCAAATGTATCCATACAAAATATGATTGACTGAACAAATGTGATAATTTATTGTAAAAAATCATTTTGAATATTGAGTATACACCTAACATTGTAAATAATATAACAGATAAGTAAACATGTATATTCCAGGCAATATCCCATGTTGCTGCAGCATTGTTTTGTATTGTAGATGTTGATGGTCCAATATTTGATTTTTTAGTTTCTTTAGCAGCTGCAGCTGCTTGATAAAGACTATCACCATTTGATGGTATTGACGTTGTTAAGTGTACAAAACTTTTTCCATCAGCTAAGTTATGTATAATTTCAGTTGAATACCCATTTTGTAATACATTACCATTATTATAATTATTATTATTTGTATTATTTGATATTTCTCCATTTTCTAATGTATTGTTGTTACTATTAATACCAGAACTTGAACCTGTTACTATATATGGATTACTAGTTGATTTACTATTAATTTTAATAGTTAATTGTGTCTTTGGTTCATCTTTTTCTTTGTGTTTTTTATCATTATTGTTACCAGTAGATGCAATTACTTCTCCATTTGTATCATCACCGAAATCATCATCATCTTCTTCATCATTTTCATCAGAAAATTCATCTAATAAAGATATTCCATCCTTTGTAGACGTTGAAGGCCCATATAAGACACCACGATTATCTTTATTACGATTATTCTTTGAAAATATATTAGAACTATTGTTATTATGATTGGTATGATTAATATTATTATTATTACTACCATTATTAATATTGTTATTATCAATACTTTTATTACTTTTACTGTGATTATTACCATGAATTGAAGTACTATTATTATTAATATCATTTTTATTATTACTATCATTATTATTTTTATTATTACTGCTACTATTAGTAATTATAGTACTGCTACTATTATTGTTATTGTCATTATAATTATTTATATAAGTATTATTAGTGCTACTATTATTAGTATTAATATGATTACCGCTATTATTATTAATAATTTTGTTATTATTACCATTTAAATTATTAGTATTATTAATTTTATTATAATAAATGGTACTATTTCTACTAATATTTTTATTATTATCTTCATTTATATTATTACTTTTATTATTAGTATTATTTTTATTATTACTATTAGAATGAATGTTAGTGTTATTATTAATATCTTTGTTGATATTTTTATTTTCATTATAATCTTTATTATTATTAGTGTTATTATTATTATCATTGTTATTATTATTCTTATAATTATAATTTGGCTGACTAGTAACCTGTTTTAGTAGCACTTCTGGTATATCTCCTTTTTTTCCATTTGAACCTGATAATATTCTTGATATATTTGGCACACGATCACCGCTTATATTTACATTTGCTGTTGTATCTGAGCCACCGCTACCACCGTTATTTAATTGAACAACATTGGTCATGCCATTGTCACTATTTATATTATATTCATTAATTGAATCAATTTTATTGTTATTTAATTTTTGTGATGGAGTATTCAAAGTCTTTTTTCTTTGTTGTTGCTGCTGTTGAATTTTTAGCTGTTGCTGCTGTTGTTGTAGTTGATTTGGATCATCTATAGTTTTTGATGTAAATAGTGATACACCTCCACTATTATTATTACCATTTATATTAACACCCCTTCCGCCAATATTACTATTTGACAATTCCGATGACGATTGTTTTGGATTAACATTTATATTAGATGATGAACCAGGGCTCAATTCTGGTGGTCGAAACGGTATTCTTTCATGTCCTGGCATTAGACTTGGTGGTGGTATTGGTCTTCTATTTATATATGACTGTTGATTATTATTGTTACCAGGTGTAATAATACCACCGTCGTTATTAGTACCACGTAATGTAGGTTTATCAGCAAATGGATTTTGATATTCTGGTGGTAAAGGCGGTGTAAAAAATGCTCGAGCTGGTGGTGAATATGAAGGCATATCTCCAGGATACATAGCAATTGTTGGTTGTCCTTTATTGAGTAAATTATGAACTGTAAGGAAAAAAAAATTAATGATATAAAAAAAAAAGGTTAAACAAAATACTTACAAACTTGTTTTATATTTTTCTTTAACTTACTTGATGGTGCTGGTGTTGAATTTATAAGATGTCGATGTCTATCCCGATCATGATTATGGTGTCTGTTAGGATTTGGATAGGTTGGATTGCTATTACTTTTCAAGATGTCTGCATTTGGTGCAGATGTTGGTAAGGCATGATCTCTCTCCAAGTCTAATTCATAATTGCGATGATGTAAATTTAGTTGCTGTTGATGTGGAGATTTCTCAGAATATCTATAGAAATTTATATTTAAAAAAGACACCAAATATTTATCATTAAATACTTAAGAAGAAGAAAATATATATATATATGTTTTCTTTTTATTTTGTAAATACCTTAAAGTTGTTAAAGGCGGCGTAGCTATTGTTGTTAAACTTGGCACATATGTATTATCTGGTATACTACGTTTTGTTGTAGATGTTGTACCGTAAGCAACTTTCATTAATACAGCGGCAACACTTCTTTCTAAATTATCTAATTTATCTAAATAATGACCACCTTCATTATCAATAATACCACCATTATTAATGTTACCAATATTACTGCTACTGCTACTAGCTCCACTAATTCCAGTTATATTATTACCATTAATAACTATTGGATCATTTAATATTTCATCATCATTATAATTAATATTTTTATTTATACCATTATTATTACTATTATTGTTGTTACTATTATTATTACTATTATTATTATTATTTTTATTATTATTTTTAATATTATTATTACTGTCATTATCATATTTTAAATTTGAAATTAAATTAATTTTATTATCATTATTATTCGTTTTAATATCATTATTAGTACTATCAATTAATATTGTTTCATTATTATTTTTTATATTATTTTTATTTATAATATTACTATTATTATTGCTATTTTGTTCAATATTATTGTATGTATTATTATTTCTGCTATTATTGTTTTTGTTTTCAATATTATGATTCGTATAATTATTAATAGTTTTATTATTTTTATTATTACTATCAATTTTCGTTAAAGTTAATCCTCTACTATACAATTTAAAATTATATTTTAAATCATAGTTTATATTATCATTATTATTTATAATTTCACTGATATTACTATTAATGTTACTAATAATGCTGCTACTACTATTACTATTTTTAATATCAATATTATTGATAACATCATGTAATTTTGATGGATTGACCGTTAATAGAGCACTTGATAATTTAACAATATTAATTTGATTGAAAAATATTAAGCATACGATATGATATACACAATACTTTACAATTTTATTATTAAATGAATAAAATTTAAATAAATTTTTATTATTATCAATTTTAATATTAATATCATTATTATTGTTATTATTATTATTATTATTATTATTATTATTATTATTATTATTATTATTATTATTATAATTATTATCATTATTACGATATCGTTTAGGATTTTCAATTTTTAAATTACTATTGTTATGAATATCAAGACTATAATTATTATTTTTATTTTTACTATTAGTTGTATTAATATTATCATTGTTTTGTTTATTATCATTATTTTTATTAATATTATTATTATTATTACCATTATTATTATAATCATTATTCTGAATATTATTATATTTTTTAAATAAAGTTCTTTTATTAGTGTTATTATTATTATTATTAAATTTTTCTTTTCCACATTTTTGATGAAATTTAATTTCATTATACACTAATCGTATTTGATTTTGATGCTTTTGGTAATTTTGATGATATAATTGTGAGTTATATTGTTCTGGTTGTTTTTTTAGTTGCAATTGGTTTTGTTTTTGTTGAAATTTTATTTTAATTAATTTTTTATAATTTATATTTAATAACAAAATTTTAATTATTTTAGTGCTTTTATTTAATATATTTCCATTTAAATTTTTTATTAAAGTATTATTAAATTTTATTACAATTATTGCTATATTATTATAACGGTTATTATTTAATAATATTATTAATAATAATATAAGTGTAAAGGATGATAATGATAATAATAATGAAATTGATGGTAATATTAAAAAATATATTTTTGATTTTATTATATTATTATTTATAAAAGTTGATGTTTTTGTAATATTTTTTGATGTTGTTGTCATTCCGGTTGTTATTTGTAGTGGATTTGATAATGATGACGTTGATGATGATAATAAAACTGGCATTTTAATATCAATATTTTGTTTATTATTAATATTGTTATTATTAATTGTATATATATATTTATTAGCTTGAATTTTGGCAGTATAACTAATATTATTTACTAATTGTATTATATTTAAAATTTTGTGATTATTATTATATTCATTATAATTACTATTATTTATTATTATAAATATTATTTGCTCTTTAAATTTTATAATATATTTAAATTGATGATAATGTTTTTGATATTTTTCATTTATGTGTTTCTTAATATAAATTGATTTTTTTAATTTATCATAATAATAATTATAATAATTTTGTACACCATCATTATTATAATATTTTAATAATTGAAAAGTAATATTATTGATACAAAAATTTTTAATAATAATTTCATTATCTATATTATTAGTTTTTTTACATAATTTTATTATTAAAATTTTCTTAATTTCATTATTAATTATTTTTTGTAGAATTTTCAATAATTTTATTATAATTATTTTTTTTCTATTTTTCGATGATGTTGCTGTTGTTTTTGTTAATGATGATAATAATAATAATGATGATAATGATATTGCTGACAAATCAAATTGAATTAGTATCGTTGATGTTGAAGGTGATGTTGACGACAATGATAATGATGATAATAAAGTTGATTTTCTTGTTGATATTAATGACGATAATGATGTTGTTGTAATTGTTCTTGTTATTGTTGAAGATAATAATAATGATGATGATCGTAAACGTTTCTTAGCGACATCACGACGTGGACTTAAACTAATTGAGAATAATGAGTTCTCATATGGATCACAGCTAATTTTAATCGACATTTTTTTATTTTTTTGTTTCTTTTTTCAGCTTTTCTTTAATTTTTCAGCTTTCAGTTTATTTTTTTTTTTATTAATTTTAATAAAATTTTAAATTAAATTATCATTGTAAGAAATTAAAAACATTTTTTTTGTATAGAGTCTATATGTATACATACATATATTATACTGTTATGGTTTATATAAAAAATCTTATTAAAAAATTAAAAAAAAAATTTCCTTAAAATTTGTTTGTTTGTTTTTTTTTTTTTGTGAATACGGGCTATTTTGAAATTAATTCACCCTTCTTCATGCGTAAATACTTTGTTTTCCTCCTCTAATGAAGTTACTTTCTTAATTTTTAAATAGTCCAATCCATAGATTTTGATCATTATTATTTAGAGAGCTTTTGACCAGTAGTAGAGGAGTGTTTAAATTTTTTAATTTGATGATGACTTCTGGTTCAAATATCTTGAGTTTCGCCACATCCAATAGAAACTAAAATAAAAAGTTTGTTCTTTTCATCTTTATAGATTGAGTTTTTTTTAGTTTGAATCAATATTTGTTTTTGTTATTGATTTGAGATTTTTTTTATTGACTGTTTTTATTAACTGTTTTTTAATTATAATATTTTGTTTTATTTTGGCACAAGCACTACTTCATCTTGTTGCTGATATATTTGAGTTTTTACAAGTTAGTGTCCCCTTTTTTGGTCTTTATTTTATTTTAACTATTTTCCATAATTTATGCAACTGTTTAACTGTTCAACTGTTTAAAATCTATAATAAAATAAAAATAAGAGTAAAATATTAAAATAAATATTTTATATGACTCAAAATAACAATGCAAGATCATCTCTCTTTTTTTTCGATATTTTCCACTTCAACATCAATTTACATATTTAGCTTAGCAAAATCACAAACAAGTATTACGGCAGGCTATGAAATTGATCTTTCAAAAATGGCCCCTATACCTCATATACAAGTTTTTTTCATAAATTTTAGATCAAATTTTCTCTTCATATGATTTTTATCAACGCAGTTTTTAAATATAGCATCTATCAATTTATTTGATTAAGTATTTTTATTTTTCTTTTTCCTTCTTCACTCGTAGCTGGAGTATAGGGCTAGTGCGTAATATCTATCATGCCCTAGTTTCTACAGTCATAGAGAGTTAGCTAGTTAGGTGACTAGCCTATTTTTTTTATTTATATTAAATATTTCAGTTTATTAATATTTTACTTTTTATTTTTCTTAGTCTTTAGTATCGAATATTATGAATATTTGAAAATTACTTGTATAATATTTATTAGTATTGCATATTAAGTTATATAATATTGAATATAATTTTTATAGTGACATGACCGGGGTTTGAACCCGAGACCCTTCGGTTAAAGGGCCGGTGCCATAACCACTGCACCAATAAGATAAGTATTTTTATTGGGGTAATCGCATTTTATTGAAAAAGTTTATTTGAAATTACAAATCAATTTTTCCAATATCAGAACCTATATTCGATTAGACTTAAAATTTCATTACGAAAAAAATGTACTCATACGTTTACTGTAATTAAAACAATATTACTGTTTGGTATGGCTTATGACATAGCACAACCGATGCTTCTCGTTTCTCTAAAAAATGGGGAATGACAAACAAATTACCAACAGCAGTACAAGTACAACGACAAAGGTGGTGTGTTTCCAAACTATGTTTTTCCATTTAACAGATAACTGTTAAAAAAAAAAACCATAACAGTTAATAGAACCATTAAGAAGACATTAAATACTATTCAGTGTCGTTCTTTTTCTAAAATAAGCAAACACACACTGATTTTGATAACTTGAGTGTATTGAAAATATTTACTTTATTAAATATGTACTTACTTTTCATATCTGTTTATTTGCCTTTCTTAAAATTTGAAAACATACGCATTTAATCCTGTATGATGTTTCATAAAACATGATTTCTGAAATAGGAAAAAAAATATGGTTAAAAATTCAAGGTTCAGACTAAGATTCGATAAATTTTAATTCTAATACGTATTGCAACTGTTAAATAATATATATATATATATATATAGCGACAAATCGGACTTATCACGCATCGCAATTGACCCCGATTGAGGTTTGTTTATAAATACAACGGGTAATACGACGAAGAAAATACACATAAATTTAATGATAATTGGCAAAATTGAGTATAAAATATAATTTTTAAAATTACTTTAATCGTCCAGAGAATGCTACTACGCAATATTCAGATCATAACAGTTTTAAAATTGACGATCACTTACATATATTGCAACCATTATTTTCGAAACTTTAATTGTCAGTTCATAAAATAAGCTTAACGACTTTTGAAAAAATTATGGATGGAATTATTTTTCTCCCCCCTCGGAACCAGAAAACAATGATAAAGCTAAAATTTTCTATAAGCTTGACTTAAAAAAAAAAAAAGATTTTTTAAAAACTTAAAAGGGTAGACATACATTTTTCTCCCCTAAATGTGGACAAAGCCTTTCAATCCTCTAAATGTGGAAATAGCAATTTCACATTTCTCATCTAAAAATTTAGAATTAATAAAAAAAAAAAATAATAATTATAACAATAAACATATGTTTTTTTTTTATTTTTACCCTTGTTCTTTTCGAAAATTTTTTTGTAAAAAAAAAACCCCCAAAAAATTAGCTAAGTAGTACCTACCTACCCACTTGCATACATTTTACTAACTTGATGGTCTTCTCCAATGAAGGTGTAAAATTAAAAAAAAAAAAAAACTATTGAAAAATGAGAAAGAACACCTTCTACAAGTACAAAAAAAAAAATGCAAAAAATGCTAAAGGATTGATTTTTTTTTCTTCTTTTTTGCGGTATCCTGGTCGCAGACCACATGACATTTTGCGTTTTTTTCTGGTTTAATTAAGGCAGAAACAAAAAAACATTATTGACCACTGCACGCCACTTCATATATTCACAAATTTCATGAACAATAACGGAAACGATAAAATTACAGGTTTCAATTGAATAACACAACCAAAAAATTAATTTTTGCAATTTTTTTTTTTTTTTCAAAATTGGTAATTAAATTAATTTTCTGTATTCGAGCCGTCACTTTTTTTTTGTACTTACAGTGAGTTACCTACAAAATGAATGCTTCAAAAATCAAGTTTATCAATTTTAGAACTCGTCAACGGAATTTAAATAACATTTGCATTAATTTTCAAATTTACATATTGCAGAAAGTAGAAGATGTTAAATGATGAATGGGTATAACATTTGAATAAAAAATTAAATTGAATTTCGCACGTGGAAATAGTTAACGGTAAATTAAGTGCTTTTAATGGAATTATGTACAAGTACAAGAACAAAATTCTTGTTGTTTTTTAATGAAAATGTATTATGGTTTTGTTCATTCGATTATGTCTTAATGCTGTAATTTTGCGTTATGGTGCTACCAGAAAGTTACAGGTACTAGAGAACAAAATTTTAAAGAATATTGTAAACTTACCCTGGTTATATATCTATAACATCTATATTTTGATTTTTCTTGTACTTTGAGTTTTTTCCTATAAATGGGATACAATAATTTTAACGAATTTTGGGTATATATAAAATTTTAAATAACAAATATTTCTTCTTTTGCAAGATTTAATCATAAAAAAAATTGCGAGTTATAAAATACAAGTGTTGATTAAAAATTATTGAGCTGTGAAAAAACTTAAGTTTCCAAATGTAAATTTTTATAATGCCCAAAGGGCGCTGGAACGATATTTTATGATTTGTATTAAATGAAAATAATTCTAAATATATATATATATATATATATTCTTGAATTGCACCATACATTTCCCCAGTCAAAGTCAAGGAATAATTAATTAAAATTGGAGATAATATTAAATTTAAAAAAAATTTGTAAATTGTTAAACAAACAAAATATGTTACTATACTGTTCCCGGCTCAGGCGTATCATTGGAATTACAATTTTGCAGTACAAGTAAGAAGATTTTGACCAGTGGAAGATTTAGGAAATATTCATTATATAACAAAGAAGACAAAGTTCACTCCTGTATAAAGTCAGTCGTCTTATTTGGCTCAAAAACTTTGCTAACATACAGAAAAACATAAAAAATAAACTGAAAATCTTTGTAAACAGGTGCTATTTGTAAACGTGTATACAATGTCTATATAATGGCTCTAACTGAGCGTGAAAAAATATCAGTGGTCGAAATTTGATTGAATTGAGGCATACCTTGAGACGTTCACGTGAAATAATTACCAAACAGACAGTAGAGTAGAATCCTCAAAGATTAAAAAGAGATGTTGGAAATCATTTTATCTATTTATTTACCTATTATTTAGGTAGGTACCAAAATTTTAAAATATCTTGGGCAGGTGGTGGCACTATAATATCACAAACAATTTACACACACATTCTATAACTATATTTGAATTTTGTGTTTGTATTTCATAAATATTTTATTAAAATGTTTCATTACTTTAGTTCTGTTAAGTTATTTTAAAACTCTCCTTAAATTTTTAATTCTAAAAATTGTTTTTTTTTTTTTGAGTAATATAAATCGGGTAGAAAAATCTTTGAATCTTTTGAATTCTACTTTTTCTACAATTAATATTTGCAGTTTCAAATTAGATATGTAGATATTAAGTAGATATTATAGGTTCCTACCTACCTACATATAAAAATCTTTAAATTTCTTAAAATTCAATTTTATTGGAATTAATTTGCAAATGGATTTTTAAGTACCTATGGACCCACCTAAATTGAAAAATGTAGGATGAAATTTTTTTTTCAATTTTTCTGTTAAAACCCAAAATTTTAATTGGACAATATTGACACTTAAATAAAATTTAAAAAGGTTGAATACTTAACACAAATTTAAAATTATTTTTAATTTAACCATTAATAAAGAGCAAAATTATATGAAATATTAATTTATGGGAGAAAACAAGAAAAAAAAAAGTATAGTTTACATGTTTTTTTTTTTTTTCGGTGTAGGATCTCTGAATATGTTATTTCCATTTTTTAAAACACTTGTATATTATGAACGTAAATATATACATACATATTTATGTAGGTATATTAATCCGTTGTTACAATGGTATTTATAAATAAACATACACTTATCTCTTTTTCACAAAAAAAAAAAACATGTTTTAAACAGGGTTGCCAAACCTAATATATTTTTGATACTATCGAGTAAAACTACGTATGGGTAATTTTGGTTTTTTATGAATTTTTCTAATCAGAACAAATTAAAACAATTTCAATTTTGAGAAAACTAAAAATTTCAAAAAAAAAATCCTGTTCCATAATGTGCGTATGTTTTTAAAAATAATGTATTTTTCATGTTAACGATTCACAACTTTTCAAAACAGAAATGTATTTATTTTTATTTCGTCCAGTCCATTAATTCAACTCGGTGGTTATTCTTTGGAACGTTGAAAACATGTTGATCAATATAACCAGCCCACACAAAAACGTTAAGTTTTTTTTTAAGCCTTAAATTTTTTATTTAAACTGTTCCACACATTTCAAATATTTGGGCCAATTAGTTTCAACGATTCAACGTACTTTTTTGAAAAACTTGTATTCATACACGGAAATGGGATAGGTGGTAAAGGCATGAAAAATATCAGATTTTTAAATTTATATAAAAAAATCTGATATGAGATTTTTTTTTTTTGGAATATTTTTCAAAATTTTGTATTTGGCAACCCCTGGTTATAAAAAATATAGTGCATATATTTATCTTCTCCATTTTTATACATGATACATACACAAATACACAAAATAAATATCTATTTATCTCTTTTCTTCTCCAACCAAAGAAACGCAAATACAAAGATAGAAAATACACAGAGAAAATGATTCACTTAAGCAAAAAAAAAAAATTAAACTAGCATTTTAATTATTAATGTTAAAACTAAAATTTTTAATTAAAATTAAAAAATTATTATAAAAAAATGCGATTTCCACTTACCAGATTTTGTGAGTGGTGTGTTTGGATTTCTTTTTTGTGTTGTTGTTATTGGTCGTGTTGTTGTTTTTATTGGTTGTGCCTATTTTTTTTTTCGATCTTTTTTTTGAAGAGAAACAGAAATTTTTATTTTATTCCATTTTCGTTTTTTTGTATTTTATATTTTATATTAAAAAATTAATTTATCAACAAAATTTATAAAAAAAAAAAAACTTAAAATGGTGCTTTTTTCTTTATGTTCTTTCAATATTTTTATTTTGTTATCCCAATTTAAATTGCATTTACACACCACACAAACCCAAACACGTACACCTATTCTCCTATTTTTTACACCACATCTTCTTCCTTCTTCAACATTTTTCCAAATTTTATTTTTTTTTTCCCTATTTCGTTTAAGTTTTTCTAATTAACCTTGTGTTCTTGTTTCTTTTTTTTTTTTTATTGTTTAAAAATTTTTATACACCACTACTCTTTTGTCAGCACTATGGAAACTTTCTAATGATGGATGATCCAAGAAAAACAAAAAAAAAACAAAAACGGAAAACAGAAAAAAATTAAGAAAATGAAATAAGAAATTCAAATTAAAATTTAAATAAAAAAAATTTTAATTTTGTTTTCCCTGTGGGCCTCTTGTTTTTTTTTTTTTAATTTTCATTTGTATTTATTCAATTGCAAAACAAAAAAAACAACTTTTATTCAAAGACACTCTTCTGAAATTTTTTTCTTGATTTTACTTGACATTTTTGAACAAAAAATAGATGACAAAAAAAAATTGTACTAAAATATTTTTTTCAGTGTAGGCAATTTAAAATATAAAAAAAAAAGAAAACAGTCATAAAATTATCCAAAAAGTTGATTAGTTTTTCTTTTTTTTTCCTTATGGTTTCTTCTTCTTCTTCTTTTCTAAAACTCTCATTAATTTCTTAATTAATCAAAATAAAAATAACCCAAGTACAATTTTTTTTTCTTGTATTCCAATTTAGTACCTCTTAAATTATTTAAAAAAAAAAAAAAAAACAGAAAAAAAAAACAATCATAAAATTCATACAATATTAAAAAAAATTTCAGAATACTGAAAAAAAAAAAAAAAAACACGAATGCTAAAGTCCTAAAAACGAGTATTTTTTTTTTTCGTTACACACTGCCATACGAAAATCTACACAACACAAATATTTTTTTTTGTTTTTCTATTTATTATGATGGCGACGAACACATAATCCAAAAGATGGTTTTGTATTTTTTTTTTGTTCTTGTACATCGGGAGGCAAGTAAGCAAAAAAAAAAAAAACATTAAAACCACAACAGGAAAAAAAATAATGAATAAATAATAAAATAATTTTTCAATCCCATACACTTTTCACACACTCACTATATTTCACGACGATTTATAGCAGACTATTTGAAAATTGAAAAGATCAAATACAAAAGCACAATATTTTTTTTCTATTCTCTCTTATCTTTTTCGTCTCTTTTCTCATTTTCGTTTTATATTTTGTTTTTTTTTTTCTCAACACAACACAACCAGTACTGCCAAACGTATCATTTTCAACCATGTACCATTTTTTAAACTATTGTACCATAAAAATATTTTTATTTTATCATGGTACGCTAAACGCATCATTTTTTTAATCACTTTTTATTAAAATGTGATTAGACTTTAATGTCAAACTGAATATAATAAATTAATTAAATTTTTTAATAGACATTTCTCCTCAAAATGATAAAAAGTTAAGTATGCAAATAATAAAACAATAAACACGATATTTATGATACCGTGACTTTAATAATGAGTTATAAAAAGTTTAAGTATGGTATTAATACGATTGTACTACCGTCTCACAGCTTTCAATACCTTTACTTTGTAAAAAAAACTGCTAAAGCTTTTAATTATATGTTAGAAGACAACTTTTACAATATTAATACATACTTTGAGGCTTGTTTGAAAAATTCAATTTAAAGTTCTGTGCAAATGCTTATTTTCAACAAACATTACCATATCATTAAAAACAAAGCATTTTTATATGCTGCAGTTTAGGAAAAAAACTTAATAACTAGCACTTTATTGCTGAAAATATATGCTAGTTTATTTAATTTGTTATTTCTAGCAACATTTATATGACATGTATAAGAAAAGCGTGCTACGTATAGAACTACGTATAGAACGCATTTAGGAAAAGTGTACAATGTCAAGAGCTTTTACTAAACTTTCTAGAATTACGTGTGATACTTTGAAAATTTTATGTCGTAAGCGCATTATTGAAATCACGGATATTTGTGATATCTATGAAAGTGATAGGTACCACAACGTGAAATAATCTACATGCATATATAGTACAATATTTTAGCGAATTGCATGGGTCAAACTTTTTCTTGAAAATGTGGGAAAGCACCGAAATTTTTTAATTTAATATATTTATAAATAAAATATTAACTTATTTATTAGCTGAACAAATATATTTTGTTTAAATATTCTAATATTGAGAATTATTTAATTGCTGCAGAGTACTCAAAAATTAATAAAACAAATGTTAAAATTACCATTTTATAAATAAAATTACTATTTTATTATCTGTGGTGCATTGATTTTAGGTTGCCTATACCATTTTTTGAAATTCAACTTATGGCAGCCCTGAACACAAATCTTTTATTCTTTAATGGATACAAAAAAAAACACCAAATTAGCATTTAGTAGTTTAGTACCACAAAGGATAGAAAAGGTAAAATATATTGTGTATTATTATTATCAGTGAGAGTAAAATACAAAAAAAAAATTCAAAAATATTTCACAAAATATATTGTACGTACATTCTACAAATTTGTTAAAATAGTGTTACCATACAGAAAAAAATTAAGTAATATCAGAATTTATTCAAATCAAATTAAAGGATCTTCATTCTGAATCTCAATTCTTATCTGATCAATTATCTTTATATGCTAATAATGAAAATTGATATGAATATAAGTACATATATGAAGTAATATAAAAATTGTAAGACTACATGCAAAAAGTGTAAAAATTGGTTGTAAATTATAAAGACACTTTCACTTAACTAGACAAATTAAAAATATTGTGTTTTATTGAATTTTTTCTGTTTTAACTTTAATTTCAATCAACATTTTTTAAATTGTTATAAATTTTATAACTGATCTTTTTTATTATTACCATTTAGAATATGTATGTACATATAACGGAACTCTTACATATATTCTTTTTGGTCCCGACATATGCAAGCGTAAGCTTTTTTATAATGTTGAGATCATTGCAAACATATTTATTTTACACAAGTGTGTAGACATTTGTATTAATGTATAAAATTTGTTTTTATAAAGCTTATTTTACATTTCGGTCTTTATATTAAAATAGTTTTGTGAAAATTGATAGTTTCACATTATGATATATTTTTTAATATGTAGATGCATGTAAATCAATTGACATTCAACGTATCAGATAGCTTGAATTGTAAAACGTAATGGTTATATTGAAGTGTTTTGCTTTACGCAAAGTACGACATCAAAAATTTTTTGAAATATATTAAAAAATGGAATTAAATCTTAGCTACAACAAAAATGTATTAAGACTGCCATATGATAAAACAAATTTGAATACATATACCATTCAATTAAATTATTTTCAAAAGGCCATGGTAGCTATGCATTTTACATTTTTGACTTTAAGTTTTTAATGTCTTGAAAATGAATAAAAGATATACAGCAAAAGATAAAAAATCTGATGTGATCAGAACATAAGCGACCGCAATGTACTTGCCTAGTTTAGTGAAAGTGTTACAGAAGTGTTACAGAAATGAAAATGCATTTTGAACACTTCCTTTCAATTTTAAGGAAGGAATTCTACTAAGAGCAAAAAGTATAAATTTGTCTCTTAGTCGAATTTCGCTATGCGCCGTCCGTATCCCCTGGAAAGTTTCCCAGTTAGTTTTCGTAACAACCAAAATTCAAATATCAAATTTCAAGAAATTCCATCAATTCGTTCCGTAGATATGGTAAAAAATGTAACATCGGCCTCCAGTTCGGTTTCCGAGCCCTGATCTTTCCAAAAAGCCGTTAGTTTTCACTTGCTTGTCATTTCCACTATTTTCAAAATATTCCATTTTTATTAAGAAACGAGAAAAAATAGAGTTGACGCATGAATTTGTTACCCTATGTGCGGATAAATATGCCATACATATAGCTGACTATGAAACAGAGTATGACTTTAAGATATCATATTACCATATTAATTTATGCAGCATATTAATTTATAAAATTTTAGTACTGTGTTTTTGTTTTCAATATTTTCCAAGATATGAACAAACTACTATAGAAGTTGTATGGCTGCTACCAGAAATAGCCAAGCAATTTCAACGACTTTTATCAAACACATTGGCCCCACCTATATATTTACTTGTGCGAAATTTCAATACGAGAACTTTCATAGTTTTTAAGATGTAGTTCAATAAATTTTGAAGTTGTATGGCAGCTACTCGAACCAGTATTCCGATCATATTCAATTTAAATACGGTTCTGGCATTTATTAAGATAAATGATTTGTGAAAATTTGGTGAACTCAGCTCAATTAGTTTTTGAGTTATCGTTGGGACGAACGGACGGAAGGACGGACAGACAAAGCTAAATCAACTTAGAATTTGACGCTGATCAAAAACATACACTTGAGTCTATATCTCAGACCATTATTTCTTTGCGCTATAAACGGTAAGGCAAATTTAGTTTACCCTTCGAACATACGTTCGTACGGGTATAAAAACGTGCATGCACATTGACACATACTTTACGAAATATAATTACTAAATTACTACCAATGCGTGTGTATGTGTATTCATAGGAAATATGTGCTTTAAATTTATTGAGACAAGATTGAATTAAAAATAAATATTAAAAAATTCATAATTTATATTTATTCCATTTATTAACAATTATTAGTTACAAATTTAAAATTTTTTTTTAATAATTTATTTTTATTATTTTCAAAATTATATTTTGAAAATAATAAAAATAATTTTTCAACACTCAAAGTTTTTGTTTTAAATCGCTTCGCTTTTACAGCTTCTGTCCAAGACAGATAACCATTATAACACATTATCATGCATTATAGTAAAACTTGTTCAAGATAGAAATGTGAGTTGTAACAGCATAAAATTGAGAGGAAAATGTAATTTTTTTAGGAGAAAAATATACCATATAAAAAATTTGCAGGAGAATTCCCGTAAAGTGTATAAAAATGAAAATAAGAAAATATACTGCTTAACTCTTTTAGCTAAAAGAAGTTTTTGTATACAAATATTGGTGAGGCATTGCATTAGCCTGAATGTCCGATGTAAACGGAAAGTCGAATTACTTATAAAATATATATGTATATAATATGTACTTTGATTATATATAACTATCTGCTTTGTACTCAATCACAGGCATCTTTGTATGAGTTTATGACTCTATTATAAACTCCTATAATGTAATATACAGATTTTTGTGACTCTATGCACTTTTATTTGTACATACATATACATAGTACACTAGAATTGTATTTGGAATTATATTATGGTCTGGAAACTGGACAATCAGAGAGACTGGGGGCATATGAAGCCACAAGTTCAAAAAAAAATTTTGAGAGAGAAAAGAAACTCATTCAAAATTAAAATGAACTCGGTTTTTAAGTTTTGTTAGAACGTCATGTTTTGTTAATAAAAAATCTAAGTTGTCCACTAATAAAATTAGAAAGTTAAAAGAAATCTTAGTTTTTCTTCATAAGGTACAAAACAAAAATATACAACAAAAGATGAAAAATCTGATGTGACAGCACTTAACAGACCGCAATGTATATTGCCTAGTTTAGTGAAGGTGTTACAGAAGATTATGAAAAGGCATTTTGAACACTTTTTTTCAATTTTAAGGAAGTTAGCAAGCTTTTAGCTAACATAACTGGAAAGGTGTTAATTCGATTCTTAGTAGAATTTCGCTTTGCGCCACCCATATCCCATAAAAGCTAACCAGTTAGTTTTGGTAACAACCAAAATTCAAATATCAAATTTCAAGAAATTTCATCAATTCGTTCCGTAGATATGGTAAAAAATGCAAAACTAGCCCTCACTTCGGTTTCCGAGCCCTAATATTTCCAAAAAAAATTTATATATTTATTATTTTAATAAATTTTCGAGCCCCTAAATTTAAATATTAAATTTCAAGGAAATTGTTTGATTATTTCTCTTTATATTCGCAAAAATATAAAACTGGCCCGCAAAAAGGTTCTGATATCGAAGTCAGATATATCACAAAAGTTGACCAATCCGTTGGATATATCACAAAAGTTGGCCATAACCAAAATAAACTCACACATAAAATTTCATCAAAATCGGTTCAGCCAAACTTGTGATACCACCCTACGAACACACTGACCGACAAACCAACATCTCTTTAAAAATGGTTTATTTAAACTCGACATCCAAAACTTGGTACAATCACATGACCTACCTTATTGTATACAATGCGGTCGGTAAAAATGAGAGCGTAATACATAATGATAATAGAATATTTAAAAACTGAGATATTTAGTTCTGTAATGTCGTGATTCATGATGGTACTTAAACTGTATAATATACAACATATAAAATAATTCGGGTTGCCAGATTTTATAAAATAATATCGTTTTACAACAAACACTGTAATATTTCTTGAGTTCCATATTGTAAAAAAAAAAAGGACTCTTGTGTAATGAAAATCTTGGGAAAAGCAGTCAAAATTGCTTATTAATACTCTAACCACAAAGGGCTGCACAGCAAACTACAACATTTGATAACTACAATAAAATAACATTTGACAATCACAATAAAACGTAAAGTTTGGGTTATTTAATGGAATCGGACACTGACCGCAAGCTGCAGCTGCAAATTTAGTTTATTTTATCATTTTGCTGCTGTTATATTTTCTAAAATAAATTCTTCACAGTATGTTTTTTTTTTCTGACAATTTTGATATTTGACAACGTAAGTTTTTTATAATATAATTTTTAGTGCGGCCTCAATGTTCTTAGAATGCAACTCGAATGCTTGCAATTCTAATGTGAATCAAAAAATTGTATTTTAACTGTCCCATTTAATTACACAGAATACACGAATAAATTATATATTTCAATTGAAATACATTGGTAACTCTTTAAACTCTTTAATAAATTTCATTTTTAAAATACCATTCTCATTTCTCATTATATATAACTAAAATTTTTTATTCCATAAAATTCACTTATATATCTTACTCTTTCTTTCATATTACACATCCAATTGAATCCAAAATTGGTAATTAAAATGTCAATTTTTTGATATGCAAATGTCATGTTTTTTTCAATTAAAATTTCAATTTTTTTTTCTTAATATCACTCTTTTCTTATGGAAATCAAAATTAAATTCTAAATTTTTTCAGTTTCATTTAATTTGATAAGCACAAGAATTATAAATTTATATTTGCTTAATTTAAAAAAAAAAACATTGATTTTAATTGTCAAAATCATACGTTTTAAAACTACATTTTTTTCCAAATAGGAATGGCGTACTAAATTTTGAGTGTATGTGTGTGTATTTGTGGTTCCTCAAATGATTTTGACGAAAAATTTCTTAAAAATATTGAATATTGAAAAATTTTTACATATTTCAGATAAATAAATAATTTTATTTTTTATAATTTTCACTTACACAAATAATAATATAATTAAATTTATATACGTTTATGAAGGAAATAAAAAAATTACTTACCCTAAAAAAATTTTACTTAAAAAATTAGTACTCCCTTTTTTGTTTTTTTTTTTGTTTACGCAAATGGCATATCGTTTTTTGTTCTGTTTTAGCTTTGACAGGTAATTGTGTCAGTTCAAAAAAATATTTGGCTTTTAGGTTTATTGGGATTTTTTGTGTAAGATCTCTGCTTATTATTTTTTTTTAGTTGTTCTGGCTTATGAATCTGTAGTAGTTAAGTTACACAAAATTTGAGAGGGAACTATTTGCAGAAGTTCTTTGTCGGTCGAAAGGCGAGACACAGATTGCCTGATGATTCATTATAAAAATGCGTCAAATTGCCCCCTGTATAAAAACGAACATAATAAAAATATGAAGAAAGTTGTATGAACTTTTAAAGTTTTTTTCTCGTTTTGAAGAATTCGTTTTACTGAAATCTTAAAAAAATGAACAGAGCCTGGAAGTTTTTTTTAATCAATTTTTTAATATTTTGATAACACAATACTTTAAGAATGTAAGCGCTAGTAAAGTAGAAAAATATTGAATTTTAATTTTTTCTAATTAAAAATTTAAAAAAAGTTGATCTTGTGAGAGATTTATGATGTTAAAAAGGGCCGACCCTTCTATAGCTTCCATAAGAATTCGTATAAATTCGTTAATTCTGTCAGTCTTGATTTACACTAACAAGTACTCATTGGCATGGAACATCCTATTTTCTCTAGAACTTTATAGAACAGTTTATCAATCCTCTTTTTTTATACAATATGTAATGTGTATTATTATCTTTATAGAAGCAGGCTAATAGCAATAAAGGGTTTTCGTTTATACACACTGTGTTCTTAGTTCTACATTACAACTAAAATTTCTAAGCCGCAGCTTTAAACAGTATGTAAAAACTTTAGCTGAGGTTTTTTTGTTTACAAATTCTGAAACTTCTAAATAATCAGTCGTTCGGAAATAACAGAAATGACATTGTTTATGAAATTGTATCCCAATACTTTTCGCCTTCCAATTCACTGCAAAATAAAGAAATTTTAAAAAGATTTGAAATCTATTCTAAATTCAGATATCTGAATCTGGTATTTCAAAATTTAATTTTTTTTGAATTTTAAATTTAAAAAAAAAGAAAAATTAATGAGGCAGCGACAAAATTTATACTAGAGGTCTGCGCTACATTTCTAACATTTCTTTATTGCAGATTTAATTTCCGAACGCCCTTCATTGCAGCCATTAATTTCCTAACGATTTATAATTTCAGTGTATGTAGCATGAACTTTCGAACGTGCTACAAGCTGAACTGAATAAACGAAAACCCCCATACTTTTAAGGCGTCGAAACTTTAAAGGAGATCAATAATGCAGGTGACACAAAAAATAGCTATTGTTTTGTAAATATGAAGATGAGTTCAAAATTTTTTATGTTTTACCTTATTTTACAGTTATGTATCTTTTAAAGGCTAGCGAATTAGAAATGCATACATATTAATATTTATAATTCGTTGTTTAAGGTTTTTCTAAAAATAAGTAATGGAACAGATCTATCAAAGCATAAGAAAATATTTTACTTATTTTTAATATACATATTGTCTACAATAAAACACGAAGTTGCTTAAGAATTCAGTAAAATATACATATATAAACATGAATAAATTGGGAATTTTAAACTGAAAACAATTTTCGTACACATATAAATATGCGCTTTTTTATACCTTAGCCTCTACTTTTTTTAGAAAGCATTCATTTGATAGATTTATTAGTTGCATGTACGAATAGATCATGCCTATCAATTTCAGCTAGTATTTTTTACTATACGATTTATTTATGTTCACCGAAAGACAGGTCTTATACAAGTTTGTTTTTATATAACTTAAAATTGATTTATTTTCAAAATTTAAAAGGGATTCCATGCAAATATTTGTTATTTTATTTTACAAAATTCAAATTTATTAGAATATACCTACATTTCTTTAAAAAAAAAACTTGTTTAATTTTAATTTTTGTTTAGTTCTTTTTTTTGTCTTTTTGAGTTTTTTTACTAAAATTTCAGGTTGATTTTTGTATAATAAGTTTAAGATCATCTGGTAAAGATTGAGTTATGTTTTCAATTTGTTTTGTTAATTGAATTCTTGTTGGTGAATTCAACACGTCTTCATTATATGATTGCGTTTCTGAGCAAAGTTTTAATTTTTGTTTTAACTTTAATATCATATCAATTATTTCTACTTCCTGTTTACCTTGTGCCCATTGATTCAAATCCTTAGAAAATAAAATAAAAAAATATAGTATTTAATTATTATTATATAAATTTGATTTATAAAACAAAATATTTGTCTTACAGCATCAGATAAAGCTTTTAATTGTAGTTCTTGTAATGTTTGCTTAAGCTCTTTATAACGACACTCGTACCATCCTTTGAAATTTGGTGATTTAAAAAATTTTATATATAATCCTTTCCAATTACCCTTTAACGATGATGTTAAATGTGGTCCAGATTGTTCTAGCGTAGCCAAAAATTCATCTTGCTTAAATTCATTTGGATTTGGAGCTGCTTTAAATGGGCTTATATCTTTTTGTAATGGCAATAATGATGCCATATAACGTTCTAGGGGTATTGTAAAACTTTCGGTTAATTCCAAAAAATGTTGCCTCAATAACAATGTTTGTACTTGCTCGGGCCGTTTTGTTTTTACTCCATTTTGTATTGTTTTTATAAAAGTTTTATCCTTTTTTAAAAACGGTTTATATTTTGTATAGAGCCCTGGTGCATTACTTCCATCAGAATTACCGGTAACAATATTTAATAAATTTGTATTACTAGTTGATATATTATTAATACCACTGTTACAACTGCTAAAATTTTTTAATAAATCAGGATTTTTCACTTTTATTTTTGAAGGATTTGATAAATATTCTATATTACTTAAGCTATTATTTGTTTCATGACTTGCCAAACTATTACTATTACAACCAAATGAAAACTTCGGTATTATAGAATACATCTGTTGTGAATTATCAGGTAATTTAATCATATTAGGCCAATGTTGCAATAATTTTCCAAAAAAAGGATTTGTTACGCCTAATATAATTGATGGTGGCATCGAATGAGAATTATTTGTTTTACTATGACTTGTATCTTTAAAAAAAAAAAAAATGTTTATTAAAAATTAATATTTTTATCAACACATTCTATGTATATTATTATTGTTACCATTATTTCCTATAGAACCTCCACTATTGATATTTATGTCTGAAAAATTAGTTGATGGTGAAGTAAATTCTCTAAATTCACTATCATGTATTGTAAAATATGGTCGAGATTCAGCTAAATAACATAACGGATATATTAGTGAAATAAGTGACTGAACCATATGAGAACAATCCGCTGGTGATGACCCCATTACAACAATTGGTTCAGCTATTAAAACTAACTCCCATAGTGTATATATACTTGATATATAAATTGATAACGAACGAAATATATCAATTTCATGAACAGAAGTTAAAACTTTTGGTGGTAATGTTGGACCAATAAATTTTGTTACATAATTATTATTTTTTTGCTTTTCATTATTTTTACATTTTTTACACAAATTGCCTAGGTTTTTGTTTATTTCTTTGACATCATCATATTTATCATTATTTATAATTATTGAATCGTTTGATTTATCAATATTATTATCATATGTTGATGGTGAAATATTATTATAATTATTCTTTGAATTAAGGGTTTTTACATATGAATTGTTTTTATTTCTATTATTATGAGTTTTGCTATTTGATTTTGGTATATCTGTTTGATAAATCGTACCTAATAAATTTAGATTATAAGATTCACCAGCTTGTAAAGATGGCCATTGATTAATTTGATCGTATACAATTTCTAAAACTTTTTTGCCATCATTAAAATATCGCGGTGCTATCGCTGATACAATTTCATTAAATAAATTGAAAAATGGTAAACGTGTTAATATAATAAAACTCTGAAAATATAAAGAAATATAAAAACAAAACAAATTGTTAACTTTTATTTTTTGTATCTTGTATTAATTATAGAAACCTTCTGAAAATATCCTCTAGGTATCGTTTTATCTTTTTTTTGTCTAAAATATACAAATCCCCAGTAATGTGCTAAATCAGGTCTCTGTATTGGTTTACATTGAGCATTAAATTTCTGTTGAATTGGATTCAGTGGAAGCGAATCAATATTATCACATGATAACCTTAAACGTACGTGATATTGTGTATCACCCATACAACTTGAATTTGAATCAGGAAATGCTAAATAACAGATATTCATAATTTCTTGTTCAGATAAAATTGAATTTTTTGGATATATTTCCTATAAATTTATGAAGAAAAAAAATTTTTTTATGTAAGAGAGAAATTATCCATATAGTTAAAAGTGTAATTTTTCAATATTGAAAAAACAAATTTAAATGTTTAAAGTTTAATTATTACCTCCATTGCTTGTCCAAGTTCAAGATCAAATGTTACAACACACATGCAATGTATCCATTCTGAAAATCTATTATTAAATAGATCTTTTTGTTGCTCTTGCACTGAAAAAGTTTTATTATTACCCAACAATATATATTTATTGTTATCATTTTCGATTTCTGGATTATCATTATCTAAATTATAATTTTGAATGTTTTCAGAACTCATAACAATCCCACAATTGGCGCATTCCACGTTATCATTCGAATTTATTTGATTTGTGTCTGATGTTATTAAAGCGTTTTCAGTAGACTTATCAAATGTTGTTGTAGATAATATATTGCTACATATTGTTGAAACATTGTCATCCATGGATATTCTTAAATAAAAAAAAAACAAATTTACTATCACAATGTTTGTTATTTCTGTATTTTGCTACAAAAACTGATAAATCAAAAAATAAAAATATAAAAAATATATAAATTTTCAATGTTAAAAAGTAGGTATCAAATTTTTACATAAAAAATAATCATATCATTGGACTAAAACTTACAAAATTTTCTGAGTTATATCAAATAATAAAAGCAAATTAAATTTAAAAATTAACAAATTTTTCTTATAAAAAAAAGCAACAAAAAATAAAAAACTTTTGTATATTTTAATTTGAATGTAAAATGGAGGAGCAGTAGCCTGGTGAAAATTTTTATTATTATTTTTTTAATTTGATAAATAAGATTTCAAGTGTTGCCATGCAAATAATTTTCTCATTAGATACAAAACACTAAAATTAGTGTTGCCGCATATAATTTACCATTTATGAAAGTGGTGATAACATCGAACTCAGTCACTACACACCAATTTCTATCTTTAATGTCTTCTGTAACATTTTTGAAAAGGAAATCAACAGCAGAATTGTTACATTCATTGCTAACATATGTGGCTTTGAAAAGCATCAATTTCAGTTCCAGAGCAACAATAATACGCAATCAGCCTTGACTGAAGTCTTGAAATACGTAAATGACTCTCTGGATCAAAAGAAGTACGTTGCATCGGTATACAAGAATGGGAAATATTACAAACAGATGTACAAGAAACGCGAACGAGATCAGCGTTACTAAAAACCACACTCAAAAGCATTTTAACAGCTAAAAACCTTCGGCAACTAGAATGTTCAACAAACTAACTAGCCAGCTATAACAAATTGATAACACTACTAAATTTGAAAAAAGGGTAAAACTTTATATAAAAGAAAATTTAAGGGACAATATAACAGTGGCCAAATTGCAATCACACATTTTATGACAATACTGTACAACAAATAAAAACACAGTCAACCTTGACAATACAAAAAATCAGCCGTGTCAAAAAAATTTAATTGGAAAGAAATTCTATCAGCTGTCAATAAATAAACTTTCGCTTACTTTTATCTTAATACCTGAGCGGAAGTGGTGGAACAATTTGACATTTGTTATTTAATACATTGTATAAAAACATACAATTTAGTAGAAGTTGAAATTAAAATAAATAAATAAAAAATAATTGTATTACTAAATATGTAAAATAAAAAATGTTTTGTCACGTGACAATATGGAAATTTCATTCAAGTATAACATAAGCTTACAAAATTTAAAGAAAAAGAATTCCATCATTTTTATTTTTCTTGTTAACCAATTTGTCTAACTGTAATTATCCTGCGTCAATATTATTCTTTTAAGTAACAAATATGATAGTAAATAGACGTAGAATCAGAAAACAAAGGAAGTGTAGTGGTTCATTTATTGATTTATTATGACTATAAAGTTTGTTTTGTCCTATTTTCAATAAGATTGTTTTCCTATGGAAGAAGGTATTTATAGATTTCGGCATTGTCAAAATCATAGTACAATATTTGAATTTATTTCGTATTTTCATGCTTGATAGCTCGTTATATGTTTATTTTTCTTAAACTTTTACAGATAAGTCTTAAAAATGGATTAGGAGTATATATGTACATATTGCAGATAATGCTTAGAAGTACAACAATTCTTGAGTTTAAACATCAATAAAGAGGACTTCAGACAATAAATCAAATTTAAAAATTTCAAAATTTTTTCCTGTCAAAAGCAATATTTTAAAAAATAACATGATTATAAAGACGATTAAGCTATGTTCCTTTTAAGAAAACTGATTTGGAAGTACAATTAAAAAAAATTTTCAATTAAAAAAAGGACTAATTTTTAAATACTAGTATAGCAGTGTCATTATTTTCTACTTCATTGCTCGAACGTGTTTTAATTTCAGTAACAAATTTTTTACGTAAACTCCAAATTATTGTTGAAATTAGTGCAACGAATTACTAAAGGCAGGAGCATCTTTGTTTCTATCTCATTCAAAATATGGCACACGCTTTTCGAATTCTATTATTTGTTTAAAATTGATTTCGTTTATGAAAGCAATTATTTTTTTCCGCAATTTTCTTTTAAATTTTAAGAACAACAAGTTCGGAACAGAATTTTTAAATGAATTAAAAGAAGAAAAATAGAATCAATAATTAAAATATATGCGTTGCAAAGAGGTGGAACGAAGTATATTTATTTTTATAATTTTAAATTAACTTGTGTACTGAAAGCTAAAAAGTATTTTTCTACATTTTTTAGCCTTGTAAGGAGTTTTTTTACGATTTTACAATCATATTCAAAACAAATTTTAATAATCTCTAATGTATTTATATCAAAAATGACAACTGCAAGTTTTCAATAAGAAGCAATTTCAACGTTAGATGTTTGTCTCGCGGCAAGATTTTTCAAACAACTTTCATAAGCACATGCAATTTATTACACTTTCTAGTATAAATGCAAAAAAGTAGTATGGTAATATAGAATGCCTACATACAGTAAAAAAGTACAATAACTGTAAAATTACCAACACTGATTGTAAAATTATGTTATTCGTTTTTATGAGAGGAGAGTGGTGTAACAAAAGGAAAGAATGAAACTTACATGACAGTAATTTGACATTGTACCAACTTTCCATATATAAGGGCTCTATTCAAACTATTGTCATTCTATTCATTTTAAAAGAAAAGTGTTTTTACTGTTTTAAGTGCTAAAAGAATGTAACAAAAAAAATATATTATTGTTATTTATAAATGTGTTAAACTATTATTTATTTTCCTCTATATTACTATAAAAATTATAATTTATAATTATTTAAGTTTAATTAATTACCAAAACAAAAAAGGATGGTCAAAAATACATGTTTACCGTTTTTTGAGTCCTAGAGGAAAAAAAAATTGATTTATCGCAAAAATTTTCTTGAACCACAACAAATTCGCATAAGAGAAACAAAACGCAACTTATAACGTGGGTGCTTTACTCAATAAATATAAACACGTTTATATTGAGGTATATGAGTATTGTACATATGGATTTACAATCAATTTGCAAATAATATCCTTCAAATATATTTGCATACATAATAAATTTTTAACTTAGAAATAAGTTTCTATTTATTAATTTATATTTATTTTGGGGGGAAAATAATAATGTACGTCGTTTTATAAGTAAGTATACCATAAAATTATTTTAATATTTCCAATGTACCTATATATTTTAAGATATAATGTAAATATTTTTTGGAATATTATAAAAACATACAAGTTGCGCATATACACAAATAAATGTATTTAGTTTTTGATATAAATAAAAAAGTGTGATATAATCTTCAGTTTTATGCAAAATAATGTTATGCAAAATATATATACAAATATACAAACATATAAATATATAGTTAACTCTAAAATTAGTTCAATGACAAATGCGTACTGAAATGATGACTGCTGCGAGTTAAGTAATAACATTATGACTGTATGGAATAATCAATTCTGAGAGAGGGGTTAGGTTTTGATAATGGTTCATTTACCCTTTATAATAAAAATTTTGAATTTGATATTATTAACTCTTATTCATTTTATTATGATCCGAATTTTAGGTTAATACAAAAAAAAAATTGTGGTAACCTTCGAAAATATTTTTTTATTTAAAAAAGATTTTCATTGATCACAAAGTAAATTGCGAATTAAGAAATTTCGTAATTTACTTATAAAAGAGCAGCAGTAAAGCAAACACACACCACAATAATTCTGTTGCTGTAAGTCAGGCAGAGATTTTGTTATTATTTAACATGTGAAATGTCTAATGCCTTTATATCTGACAGAGATATGAAGACATTAGCATGGCAAAATAAAAACAAAAATAAACACTATTTTTTTTTTTACCTTGAACGTACGTTTTTTATCTTCTTATTCGATTATGATATGTATATAGGTAGATATATGTATATATATATATATACCTAGACTGACAATATTTGAATTGATTATAACAGCGAAATTTTTATTTAAAAAGTTTTCTTTTGCAATATCTCCTCAACATTCCATTATTGATATTAGTTAGTAAATTTTAAGTTTTAAAGAAGTGAAGTTACATATAAAAAATACAACCTGATTATTAATTTAATAATAATATTTAAATTAATTCACATTATTGTAACCAACAAACGTGTAAAAATGTAAGTAGGTAAAGTAGGTAAGTACCTACTTAAATGTGTACGTTAATTTTTATTAAATTTAACTATTAATAATTGTTGAGGTAGAATTTCACGTATGTATGTAAATAGGTCAATATTTTCAACAAATTTACATCGATGTAAAAATTCAAAATCTTGGTAAATTTTATGGCCGTTAATAAGGGCCCGATTTCAAGCCAGACCAATATGGACACAAGATAGAGCAAAATATATCCGAAGACTATTGATTCAATTAAAACAATTAAATTAAACATTAATTTGAAAATTAAAAATAATTGAATGAATTTCATTGTTTTTAACAAGAATCCGATTTTAATTTTTCAAATTACAATAGCAAAAGTGTTATTGATTATTACATTACAACTATATCTTAAATAAAACTTTAATTTATTTTTTCAGTTATATATGCATAAATTGGGGACTAGTCATTATTATTAGGCTACTTAAAACTGGATTGGAATTCCTTATTAATAGTTGATAAAAGTAGATTATAAAAGTATTTACAAAAATAGTTCTGTATATAATAAGAAAAAAAATTGAAAGAAAACAGTATGACTAGTGATGATACTACAGGCTTTGATAAAATAGACATAAATACTCAAATAATGCAAAATCAAGGGTTTCTTGGTCCACTGGCAAATTCTTTAGGGGCAACCGAACCGGCATTAAAACTATTAATATCTTTATTGTTTGGTAAGTATAAAAAAAATTATTTTTTTTTACAATTTGTGAGTCGCATTTTAAACACAATGCATTTAGTATTGCTGGTTGTACATCTGCATTTATTTTTAATTCAGAAAATAAAAATAACTTAATATTTTTAAAATATTATAATATTTTTCCTTTTTTTGTAATTATTTTAGGTTATCCATTAGCTGCAATTTATCATTCACATATTAAAAAACATTCTCTAAATATTAAAAATATATATTTTGCGTTGACTGGATTTTTAATATGCTGCTTCAATTATGGATATGATGTATATCATAGTTTAATATCAATATTAATAACATATATACTATGCCGATATTTTTGTAAATATCGATATTTTGTAATTATAAATTTTATATTTAATATGGGTTATCTATTAATTGGCTATTACTTTACTGAAAGTAATGATTATGATATAAAATGGACAATGCCACATTGTGTTTTAGTATTACGTTTAATTGGATATGGTTTTGATATATCAGATGGAAAAACATCAAAAGATAAACTATCAAAAGATCAATTAGAAAATGCAATATATGATATGCCAAATTTATTACAATTAACATCATTTACATATTTTCCAGCTAGTTTTTTAGTTGGACCACAATTTCAATATCAAAGATATAAAAATTTTATAAATGGTAAATTTGATAATTATAAAGGTAATATTGAAGCTGGTTTAAAACGTGGAAGTATTGGTATATTATATTTAATAATAAGACAAATTGGTGCTACATTTATACCTGATAGTTTTATAATGAGTGAAGAGTTTGATATATTATCGTTACCAACTAAAATATTATATATTGGTATATGGGGTAAACTATCATTATATAAATATGTTTCATGTTGGTTAATAACAGAAGGTGCTTTAATTTATTTTGGTAAGTAAATAAAAAAAAATGTGTTTAAATATTTAACAGATATATTTGTAAATTGATTTTAAGCTTAAAAATTTTAATTTAAGAAATTTCCAGCAAATGGAAGATAAAATTATTTGACAGGTATTTTTTTTATAGGTTTAACATATGTTAATACTGATAAAAATACTGGTATATCTGATTGGAGTGGTTGTTCTAACATCAATATACGTATATTTGAATTAGCAACGAAAATGGAACATTATGTTAAATCTTTTAATATTAATACAAATCAATGGGTTGCATCATATGTTTATAAAAGGCTTAAATTTTTAAATAATCGTACAATTAGTTATGCATCAGCATTACTATTTTTAGCAATGTGGCATGGATTTCATTCCGGTTATTATATGTCATTTTTATTAGAATATAGTGTTATAACATTTGAAAAACAATTCGAATCATTATGGTCAAAATATATATTAGCAAAATATTCGAATATAATAAATTCGAATATTTGTGAAGTTCTTATATTCATAATAATGAAAATATATAATACTTCTTGTATGGGATGGTGTATGGTACCATTTGTTTACTTAAATTATACCCGTTGGTTTTATATATATAGTAAATTATATTACTATGGTTATATATTTTTGATATCATGGTTTATTTTTAATTTTTATATGAAAAAGTATGTTACAAAACCAAAGAAAAATGATAAAAGCCTAGATAAAAACAAAAGCCAATAAAAAAACATCTGATGTGGTCTACACATAACCGACCGCAAGGTGTGTTGTCTTCTTTTTTTTTTTGTTCCTGTTACTCTGCAACTTGGGAGCTTAGGGCAACTTGAAGTCTCCATTCTTCTCTGTCATCGCTAGTTCTTCTAGTTCATCCCACGGGATTCCGTATCTATTTAGTTCCTGTAACACTGTTCTTCTCCATGTTGTTGTGGGTCTAACTCTTGGTTGGTCTCTGCTAGAGGATTCCAGGTCAGCGCCATTCTTGTTATGCATTCTTCCTTTCTAAATGTATGACCAATCCACTTCCATTTTCTTCGGGGGATTTGCTTCACTACAGGCTCTTCATTTGTTAGTTGTCACAAATCTTTGTTCCTAATTCTGTTCGGTCAGAATATTCGGCATATAATTCTTAGGTGTTTATTTATGAACACTTGCAATTTATTCTTGATGGAATTGGTGACTAGCCATGATTCGCAGCCATATGTTAATGTTGATTTTACACATGATTTGAATACACTTAACTTGGTATGTCTACATATTTTTGTCATATCTTGGTATGTCATATCTAAGTTACTCTGCAACTTGGGAGCTTAGGGCAACTTGAAGTCTCCATTCTTCTCTGTTATCGCTAGTTCTTCTAGTTCATCCCACGGGATTCCGTATCTATTTAGTTCCTGTAACACTGTTCTTCTCCATGTTGTTGTGGGTCTAACTCTTGGTTGGTCTCTGCTAGAGGATTCCAGGTCAGCGCTATTCTTGTTATGCATTCTTCCTTTCTAAATGTATGACCAATTCACTTCCATTTTCTTCGGGGGATTTGCTTCACTACAGGCTCTTCATTTGTTAGTTGTCACAAATCTTTGTTCCTAATTCTGTTCGGTCAGAATATTCGGCATATAATTCTTAGGTGTTTATTTATGAACACTTGCAATTTATTCTTGATGGAATTGATGACTAGCCATGATTCGCAGCCATATGCTAATGTTGATTTTACACATGATTTTAATACACTTAACTTGGTATGTCTACATATTTGCGAGCTTTCCCATATGGGGCGGAGTCTGATGAAGGCTGTTCTAGCTTTATCTAGTCTATTCTGTACATCTTCATTAATACCGTCAGTTGGCGTCATGATACTGCCTAGATAACAGAAGTTAGTTGTTTATTCAATGTCTTGGCCGTTTAGCTTACTTGGATTGTTATAAACAAGGTGTATGTACATTGCTTTGGTTTTGTTTGTATTAATTTCTAGGCCAATATTTCGGGATTCTAGCTGCAGGTAATTCAATTTGTATCTGCGCATCTTCTTGATTGTTAGATATTCGACATAAGTTGTTTGCGAAGTCAAGGTCTATTGGTCATCCGACTAATAGATGTCTCTTTCAGCACTTCTTATTCCCTCAAGACATCATCTAATACTATGTTGAATAGTAGCGGCGAAAGCGGCCATACTTGTTTAACACCTGCGTTTGTTGTGAATGATTCATTAATGTTCCCATTATGTGATACTGAAGGTTCCACATTTTCATACATGTTCATAATGATGTTGATTATTTTCCTTGGAGCACTCCTTTTTTCCAAAGCTTTCCATATTGCATTTTTGTGGATGGAGTCGAAAGCCTTCTTGAAATCAACGAATATGAGGCATAGAGGTGTTCTCCATTCATTTGCTTGTTCCACAATTATACGAAGGGTATTATTTTGGTCCAGGCAGCTTCTGTTTGGGCGAAATCCAGCCAATATTTATAAATAAATAATATTTTTCTAATATGTTATGATATTGAATAATATGTTATAAATTATTGAAATATTTATTATGATCTGACCGTTTTGAACCCGCGATTTTCCGAATGAAGAACCAGCGCCTTAGCCACTGCGCTATCGGTCAGATTTAAGGTGTGTTGTCTAGTTTAGCAAAAATGTTTCATAAGATTATGAAAATGTCTTTTAAATACTTCTTTCGAATTTTAAAGACGCTAATAAGCTTTTAGCTGATATACCTAGAAAAATATAAATTTGGCTCTTAGTAAAGTTTCGCTTTGTGGTGTCCGAATTTCTTAAAAAGTCTGACAATTATTTAAGGTACCAATCAAAACCCAAACATTAAATTTCAAGAAACTCCGTCAATTAGTTCCTTAGATATGGTAAAAAATTTAAAATCATCTCTAGTAAAAGTTCAGTTTCAGAGCCCCGATAAAATTTATAAGCTTTCAAACAAAATCAAATATTTAATTTCAAGGAAATTGATCAATTTTATGTGTATAAATGTAATGCGTAAAAATGTAAATTTAGTCCGCAGTAAAAGCCTATACATATATAAAATTTCAAGTTAATCTGTTAAATTACTCCTTAAAAATAAATCAAAATGTAAATAAAAGTCCAGTTCCCGAGATCTGACAAATGATGCTGAAAACTCCGCAAATTTTGGAAATTTGGTGGTATCACATAACCTTCCTTATTGTATGCAATGCGGTCGGTAAAAACGAAAAAAAAAGAACTATTGCAGATGAACTATTTTTTTTATTGTGTGAATTTAGAAATTAAATTATTTTCAGTTTAATTTATTAATCAGTTTTAATCGAAAAATTGACTTAATGATTCGAATTGTTTCACCGTCACACTGCTTCTGTTGATATATGCTATCTTTCAGTAATTGAGATAATATAAGACAATTTCCAAGAAAAAATTTTTTAAATTTAAAACAAAATTTGAAACAATTTATATTGTAAAAAAAAAAACAAAACAAATTTACCTTATGAAATTCTTTTTTTTATTTTTAATTACTATAAATTTTTTATATAATTTCTTTTTCTGAATTAAAAATAAATTAATACTCTTAATTTCTTTTAAATATAATCAATTGTTTTATTCATTAAATTTTTAATTTTCAGAAAAATTTTGAATATTGATATTTTAATTTTCAGTTCAATAATTTTGAGTTTAGGTTTCTTATATACCTCCAAGGAACATTAAAACTCTTATGTTTAAGGGTCCTTAACAATAAATAACTCTAATATTATTGTATGTAATCTGGTCAATAAAATTTCATCACTACCGGAAAGAGATGAACCCGTAAACCATAATGCAAATGACCTTTTTTATTATTTTAAAATATAAATATATACTTTTATTATTTAAAAATATAAATAATAATAGTTTGAACTTTACTCGCCGAAATTCCTTTTGAAAATGTATCAATTTCACTTGAAACGTTTCTTTTTCGATTATTTTTTTGCCCTCACGTCACTCGACAACCAGAATACCACATTTCAAATGATGTGACAGCGACAACGACAAATGTCACGTAAGTGACGCGACAACTAGAATAAGGCTCTTAATATTTTTTATTAAATTTTCTATAAAGATTTTTTCAACTGCTATGTTTCATAGAAACGTCTAAGCTAAAATTCCTAATTTTATTATCGTGTTATTTACATCAATCAAATCTAAAATAAATTATTTACACAATTAAATTTTTAATTTTTAGAAATAAATAAATCAATTCATTGTCGAATATATATGCTTTAAAAATACAAAAATTAATTAAATAATAAACGAAAATGAAATTTTTTTTAATAAAAATAAAGATCAAAAATTTTTCACTTACCATTTTATCTGCAGTAGTACGTTAAATTTTGAATTGATTCCTCTCTGTGAAAATTATTATTATTCTTTGTAATAGATATAAGATGTTTATGTATATCATTTAGAAAATTGTCAATAATCGAAAAAAAGGTTTCTGATAAGAAGGTTGTTATTCTTATTAGAAATTTGTAGTCTTAGAAAATGCCTGACCATAAAAAGAGTTAAAATTTTCATATTATGAAAGTTTTCTCAATCAATAGTAAAATTATAACTTTGAGTCGCAGTGATACAGTGTAGTCAAGGTAAGTTGTTTTGTACATTTTAAGTTAAGTAAACTTTCATATATTTCAAATGTTTTTAAAAGACCAAACTAAACAATATTAGAACAGATTTTCCTTCAAAATTAGGATTTAAATTCTGTTGTATCATTTAATTTATAAAAATATTTTAAGTTTATGAAACATATTCCTATATGTTGAGATAAATCTACAAGCAAATTACAATTTTAAATATAACTGTATTAAATTGAATCCTTGTCATGTACAACTGATGTTTAATATCAAATATAAAAGATTTTATTACTATAAATATTGATAATATTTTTTTAAGAAGACTCCATTTGTTTATAAAATATATTAGGATAATTATTTAAAAAAAGAAATAAAAACATTGAACAAATGAGGTCTTTGGGTTTTTAAAAGCTGATAATATAAAGAACATTTAAATAAAGAGTTGGAGTTAAATGAATGAGTTTTGCATGATATTCAAATTTTAGGAGTAAGTCAAGGAATAATAAAAAATGATGTCTTATATAAGCTATTTCCAATAATCTATTTTAAATTAAGATCACAATCAGACATGTGTCTTAGATTAATGTATTTTTATCAGGAAATTTTCTTTTTCTTCTTACAATTGAGGAGTCCATGAAATAATTACCAGCAGGGTAATTGGTTCATCAGTGACTATAAACTATGAGGACGTAATTTATGTAAACACAATGAGGACGTGGTTGTTTTTTCAACCCGCGAAATTAAAACGTAAAATGTTAAAAGGGCAGAAATTTACTAAAACATTTTTTTTTATTTAATTACATCTTTACTTAGGTTTTTTTTATTCTTCCAATTTTTTATTATTATTTTTTTTGCTTTTTTTGTTTTTTTTTTTTTTTGATTTTGTATTATTTTATACAGCATTTTGTTTGTTTTTTTTTTTAGATTTTATATTTTTGTTTTTTAATTAATTTGTTTTTTACTCTCTTTTGTAAATTTTAGGTGCATGTGCAAATCAAACAAACCTACAAATATAGTTAATCCAGATTTTCTTTTCTTTTTTGTTTATTTTTTTTAGATTAATTTTTTTTATTTTGCTCTATTTTAATTTTTTTTATATTTTTCATAATACATATTGCACTTTCAGTGTGCCTAATTAATTGTATGTGTTTCTATATATATATATATATATATATATGTTATTCTTACAGTGTCGAATATATAATTTATGTTATTATTATTATTTTTCAGGTTTAATTCATTTTTTTAATATTTATTTAAATTTTTTTTTTCTTTACATGCACATACTATATGGATGCGCATATATATATATATATATATATAATTATTTAATATAATTATTTTTATATTCATTTATTTTACTTATTTATTTATTTGTAAAGTTCTACATCAAAAACTTTTCAAAGTTCCAACTCGTACATGCTATGATAAATCATATGAATGATTTCAAGTGATTTAAAATAGTAAATTTTAAATTTAATTAAAATTTTTTATGTATTGTACTTCTTTTAATTTAATTTAGTAACTTTAAAGAGTTTCGATTTAATATATTTATAATTATAATTCTTATTTTATAAAATAATATTTTCCTATATATATGTATAGTGTATATAATTGTATATCAATATAAAATAATTATAGCATATAATAACAATAATATTACTAATAAAAATAATAATAATAATAATAATAATAATAATAATACTAATAAGAATAATAATAATAATAAATATATATATATATATATATATATAATATAAGTATAAAAATTCAAATATCTTTATATATTTATTTAAAATTGCAGAAGAACGCATAAGATTAAAATAATATACAATTTTAACTTGTAATTGCTGCTAATTTTTTTGCAAAGTTATTACATACTGCAATTACATCACTGTAATAACTGACGTCACGGTATATTATTGCAATTTAGAAGTCATTGATATATGAATAAACATTATACACTAATAAACTTTTATGTAATTTGTATAATTGATTTGGTTTTTTTTTAAATAATAATTTAAATAACATAAAATAAATTTTAAAAGAAAATTTCGCCTTTTAATATGTGCTAGTATATAAGAACAAAAAATTCTTATACATACGTATTAAAAGCATAATAATATATTTTAAAAATTATTTTACTTTTAAAAATTAAGATAACAGAGCATAACGTTACACCAACAGTCTTTGCCAACAGCGCTAAAAATATAGATATACGTTAATGCAAAAATTTATGGGCGCATGAAATTCTTATTTCAGTAATTAATAATTTTTTTTTTTAAAACTGATATATTTTTATATTTAATAATTAAAATATGTTTTAAAAATTTGAAAAGCAAACCGCGATATTTTTAAAAATGTTTTTTTTCATGCGTCAAAAAATTCATCGGCGATCCATCGGGCTTCGGGAAATTTATTTAAATAGCTCTGTTCAAATTACATCTGCTTGATTTTTTTTCAGCTTTTAAAATATAATCAAAGATTATATATAATATTTTAATCACTATGTGATGCTATAAGTATGTAATAATAACATATTTCTATAAATTAAAATAAATTAAATTTAATTATACATTAAAAAATTATAAAAACAAAAAAAAAATACATAAATATTTTTATAATATTATATAAAATGTATACATAAATGTGTATACATAAATAAATAATTATGTATATTTTTATACAATGGAATTAAAAAATATCTTGACTAGATTTATTACAATAACAAAAAAAAAAACTTTTATAGTCACAATTTTATTTTACAATTTTTATTACATTTGCTTAAAATTTAACGGTAATTTATAATTTTACTCATAAATACTAAGTGTTTGAATGATTAGCATGTTCTAGACTAGACTTTGTTTGTTTTTCTTTACTCAATACTTTTTTGACTTTGTCTTTTATTTAAACTTTGTTTACAAAATTAATTTAAATTAATTTTTAATTTTGATGCTTTTATGAATGCATATATATACACAAATATATATATATATATATATATATATATATATATATATGTCAAATATAGTTTTAATTATTTGTGCAACTAATTTATATATTTTTATTTTTTTTATATATCATATTTTTATTTCATTATTCGTATGGGATATTTTTTTATTTATACATAAAACAGAGTTCATAATTTTAAAATTACATTTAATGTTTATTAATTAATGTTTTGTTTTTCCTTCTATTATAATTTACTAACTCAAAACAAATATTAAAAAATTTGAAACTTTAATGTAAAACTTAAATGTTTTTTATCTCTTTATTTACTGTTATTATTAATCAATATTTCTTATATGATCATTATTATTGTAATTGTAATTAATATTATCATTATTATTAAAATAATAATAATAATTATTATTATTATTATTATTATTATTATTATTATTATTATTTTTAAAATAATTATTATCATTATTATTATTATTATTATTATTATTATTATTATTATTAGAACTAATAATAATTTTGAATCTCTTAACGAAATATCTTCTAATTATTATAACACTTTGGTTTTTTTTATATATTTTCAAATACAAATATATTTTTTATTGAATTTCCTAATTTATAATTTCTTTTGTATTCAATAATATTATAATATTGTGACAAACTATTATTAAGATGATGATAACAATAATAATAATAATCTATATTATTTTTATAATAATTATTATTATTGAATAATTTTATAATTTGTTGCTGTATTTATATTATTTTCTTTTTGTTATTTTGTTTTAACTTAATTTTCATTTTTTGTACAATTAATTTATATATTTCTATTTGTTTTTTCATATTTTTATAGTTTTATCATATTTTTATTTCATTATTCATATGGGATATTTTTTTATTTATATAGATATAAAACAGAATTCTTAATTTTAAAATTATATTTAATTTTTATTAAGTTTTTTTGTGTTCTCGTTCTATTATAATTTTACTAACTCAAAACAAATGTTTAAAAAATTTTAATGTGAAATTTAAGTGTTCAAATTTGGGAATTAATGAAATCATTTAAATATTTTAACCAACATTTTTATTGTTATCATTTTGTATTTTGTAGTGATCCATTGAGCATTTTAATGCCCATATTATGATCGGCCAAGCGAGTGGCTAGGCGAGTCGAATGGACTAAGCAAATCGAATGATATTTTAAATTATTATCGGCGAATGCTTTCATTCGCCAGATCCAAAATGTTACTACTGCAAGACATCAGAAAACCTACCGAAAATAATGAAGTTAACACTACACATATATATATTGTTGTTGTGTTTTTGCAAAAACAATTGAATTTTCCTATCCCTTGAGCAATTATGGAGCTGTTGTCCATTAATTTATTTAAATGCTCGAATTGTTTTTATTTCGTTTTTTTCACGCTTAAGTTAATAAAAATAACCAATAAAAAAAACACTTATGTATTATTTTGGCTTTTGGTTTCATTCTCCAAACTTGTCACATGGAATTTTTATTCGACAGATTTGATAGCTCTTTCGCCTAAAATTTAGTCGAATTCGGCAATCTTAATACCAAAAATTCATATTCGCCGAAAATTTCATTCGTTTCGTCGATCATAATAAGGGCTCAAAAATTTTAGAATATTAGTAGCCCAATCACACCGCTACACAAAAAGTTAGAGATGATTTAGAGTAATATTTAAGTATACAGCTTCCCTCTACATATCAGGACCGTGTTTCATAATATAATATTAATTAATAACCTTGACTTTAAAATTGTATTGAACATTAATAAATAATTAGTAACAAGGTATTATTGTAATTTCGAAGTTAGGGTTCATTATTGTTTTTTATTCTTTTTTTTATTTATTCTATGTTTTTTGTATTAGAAATATATTTATTTATTTATACGAGTAAATATGTATATAATTATATATATATTGATTTATGTATATATTATGTATATAAATATGCATAAATATGCATATTTGCATATTTATATAAAAGGCGGAAATTACGACCGCAAGGCATTTTTTTTCTATTATTATTGCGTTTAGTATTATAATTTATGTTAAATTCAAAGTTATATTATTATTAATCGTATCTATTCATTTAAGCAGAATCGGCGTAGGGTTGAATAGGTATGGGGGGAGTGTATGAGGGAAGAATAAAAATTTAAATAAATATTTGTTTGTTTTGTTGAAACTGTTTCTCATTTTATTTTAATGGAAGAGTTGGAATTGCCTCAACATCGGGATTATTGTAACACACTATAATATTATTATATTCTCAATTACTTAGAATTATAAGCTGAATTGTTTAGTTATTACTGCTGTAATACTGATTCCGATATCAGCAAAAATTCAAGAAATATTTGCGTATATATATTATTATATATTATGAAATTTGTATTATTGTTTCAAAAACTATTTTACCATGACAAATCAGTGTTCTATTTTACCATGATACAGTGTTTGTACATAATTCATATAATAAGGTTGCAATTGCTGAATTGCATATTAACACAGTAACATATTATTGAAGATTTGACGTGATGGTTTATGATTTATTTATTGTATTGCTGATTATGTTATAAATTTATATAATGAAAACTCCCCAAAGTTTTCCGTTATTCATGTAAATAAATGTACATGTTGAATAAAAAAAATTGAATATAATTAAAAATTAAATTTTTAATATAATTAAAAATTTTTTTTTGCTTTATAAGTTTTATAATTATATTAGTATTATTTTATTTTATTCATTTATTTTCATTATGTTTTGTTTTTGGTTGCTTTTCAAAATAACTTTGCAAGTGTATTTATACTTATATGTATAGTTTTGTTTTAATTAAATTATTTTTGTTTATTCAATCCTCTTTTTTTTTTAAATTTTGTGTTTTCGTTTTTTCCCATGTATCACTTACAGTTGCCATATTACAGATATCTGCGGTATATTCCGTAATGTTAACAAAAATAATATGTTGTAAAACTTATAATTTATTATGTTTACACTTTAAATATATGTATATACCTAATTAATTATATTTCTCGCTAGAAACCCTTAAATTTATGTATTGTTTTTTTTTCACTCCTAATAACAAACACGAGTATAGGAAAAAAAAGAATTGTGATCCTGTTAATTGCGTCCTATATTTTTTAGTATGAGTTTGATAATGCAATATGTTTTCGCACTTTTAATTTAGAACTTTAACAACTTAAACAACAGAACGATAGAGCTGCAAAAACTACAAATTTGACATTAGCGTAAAAAGAAGTTTTTTTCGTTGCAAATGTTCTAAGATTTTCGTATATTTTTTAAAGTTTCAATAATGAAACCACAAAATTAAATATTTTATTTATTGTGTAATTTACTGAAATATAATTCAAATCTTTTATTAAAGTAGTAACAAAGTTTAAAAGAAATTTATTTTGCTAAATCCCGCATTATTTTTTTTAGTGCAAAATAGTGATAGTAAAATCAAAACTGAGTAATTGCGTGTATGTTAAAACTCTAAATATGCAGTTGTAGTTATAAAACAAAAACAAACTACAAAAATAGTACTTCATTATCAATCACATTTTTTTGACAGCACGTGCAGTACCTTATTGTTAAACATAGGATAAGTTTAATACTAGAACTTAATTATCAAAAACGCAGAATCCGTCGTCAAGTTTGGAGTAAGTTTTAGTACAAAATTGAGCAACTTAAACTTTTAAATTGTGTATTAATGTCGTATTGCAGCAATTTTGAAGCCAGGGAATAAAAAATTCGCGTGACTTTACAAAGATTATGACATTAATATAAATAATGCAATTTAATTATGGAGCATAATTTAATGAAATATAATTTTTGTACACAGTAAAAACCTTGGAAACAAAAAAGAAACTTTCATTTTAATTGATATTTAATATTGAATGTGCCACCAAAAAGTTATTTGCAACAAATAAAATAAATCTTGATTTTTTATGATAATGTAATTAACCGTAACAATAAAATAAATTTTATTCTTTTAATGTATAAAAACTTAAAATCAAAAACTTTTTAAATAATTGGGATTCTAACATGAAATGCCGGTTTTCAAACTATACATGAATTATTAGTGGAATTTAATACCGTTTTACCTTTCACTATTTCATCTATTTATTTTATTTATATATTACTTTTTATTTTAATTTAAATTTAAAATAACTAATTAAATATTAATAAGGTTTTGTTTTAGTATGAGATTTTTTTTAACATAAATATCTTTAACTTTTTTTGTATTAATTTTGCATTTTTTATACATATTTATAGCTATATTTTTACTAAATCTAAAATCTCTAAATTACTAGAACCAAAAAAAAAACCAAAGGAAAAAAACTAATGTAACTAACATCATTTTTTTTTAAAAATAAATTTTTAATAACTCTCTATTACTGTTATTATTAATCAATATTTCTTATATTTTCATTATTATTGTAATTGTAATTAATACTATCATTGTTATTAAAATAATTATTATCATTATTATGATTGTTATTATTACTGTTATAATTCTTATTGTTGTTATTATTATAACTAATATTATAATTATTTTTATACTTTTTGTTCTTAATATAATAATAATTATTATTATTATTAATATTATTATTACTATTATTATTATTATTATTATTATTATTATTATTATTATTATTATTATTATTATTATTATTATTATTATTATTATTATTATTATTATTATTATTATTATTATTATTATTATTATTATTATTATTATTGTTATTATTATTATTATTATTATTAGAACTAATAATAATTTTGAATTTTTTAACGAAATATCTTCTAATTATTATAACATTTTGGTTTTTTTTGTATATTTTTAAATTAATAATAAAAATATATTTATAATTTTCTAATATATAATTTGTATTATATTTAATAGCATTATAATATTGTGACAAATTATTATTAAGATGATGATAACAATAATAATAATCTATATTATTATTATAATTTTTATTATTATTAAATAATTTTGTAATTTGTTGGTGTATTTGTATTGTTTTCTTTTTGTCATTTTGTTTTAACTTATAATAATAATAAGAATTTAATGCTGGATATAATTTTTTAAAATAATGATAATAATAGTAATAATAGTAATTATAATAATAATAATAATATCTTATAATAAGCAATATTAATATTAGAACATTTATATTTTTGTAATTAATAATAATAATAATAATAATTATTACGATATTTTGTCACAACATATCATCATGGTTCTCAACATCATCATGATCATGATCATTCAAATCAAAATCATTGTCATGACCTAGATCTAAATCCATTCCACCATCATCATCATTGTCATCATCATCATCATTTTCGTTGTCATCATCATCGAAATCTAGTGAATGTTGATTACCCGGTGATAAACCATCAGAATGATGAAATGATTTTGAATCGCTATCGTCTTTCCATTTATCCATTGAACGACGTCTTGCATTCATAAAGAAATTGCCAACAGTAGTTGGCTCTAAACCCAGTTGTCTTGCAATTGTTACTTGCATTTCTTTTGAAGGCCTCTTGGTTTCCTACAAAATGAAAAAAAATAATAAGAAAACATTAAAATTATGTTAAAGAAATAAATTAAATGAAACAATATTCTTAATTTATACCATTAATAAAGTTCGTTTTTTCTTACCTTAAAAATAGCTTGTAAAGTTCGTCTTTGTAAATCTGTAAAAACCAATCGTGGTTTTTTTGGCTGTGGCATATGGTCCTGATGAATTTCTTCTTTCCTTTTGCAACCTTTAGTACCAGAAATAAAAAAAAATATTATAAAAATTTCATTAAAATAAGTAATTAAAATCTAATAATGTTTTTAAAAATTAAGTTCTTAAAATTAGAACTACAAAGTGTTGAAAGCTTCCTGTGCATATGGTTCATACTAGCTATTGTAAATTTCGCATTTTGATAGCTTTAAGAAAAAATAAATAAGAAAATTAATACATAAATATAAGAATATTTTCTAAAATATTCTTTAAAATAATTAAAAATAAGAACAAGTAAAACTTTGCAGTTCTAACTTTACAAAGAAAAACAACGAAAAACTCCATAATATTAGAGAAAGTAAAAGAAAATATATTTGTACTCACTACCCCGTTGTGGAATTTGAGCAGCTGAAAGAAAGAAAGAAAAAATTAAAACAAATTTAATTATTTTTACTTAATTAATAAAATATATATTAATAGGGATATTTAAAGAACAAATTTTAAATGATGAAATCCAATTACTAATAATGGAAAATTAAAAGCAAATTACTAATAATGATAAAATTAAAGCAAAATTTTAATTATTTACCTGCCATACGTAACGCAGACATTCTTTGATATTCTGGTTCTTGTAACCATTTATACATTCGACGAAATGTTTCACGACCGGATTTTAATTTTGACCAAGGTTTCGGATTTCTTAACAAATCGGATAATGTACCCTGTGAACGACATAAAACCCGTTGAGCGAAAATTGCTTGTGGTATACTATAACGTTTTAATTCAGCTGATATTCTTTGAGCTAATTCCTTTGTATTGATTTCTTCAATATCACTTGTTAATGTTGTAACAGTGATGGGACTACTATTAGCACAATGTGTTCCAATAATTGCGTTAATGTTATTATTATTACTGTTATTATTATTATTATTGTTATTACTATTATGATTGTTATTTGTATTTCCTTGTATTATTGAGGTCATGTTATTTACGGGATGGCCATTATGATGTGTAACTATTAAGCCATTATTACTATTATTATTATTTGCTAGTGTTGGCTTTGTTATAATTTGTCCAGAAGAATTATGTTGCTCCTGTTGTTGTTGTTGCTGTTGATGATGATGATGATGATGGTGATGGTGATGTTGATCGTTATTTGTTTGTTGCTGTTGGTGGTGTTGATGAGAGTGATGATGGTGTTGATGCATTGTTATCATTGGTGGAGGCGATGGTGATTGGGTTATAATATCATTATCACGATTTGTTATATGAGAAATTTGTACTAAACCAGACTGAGCCAATGGTGAAATTTGTGAATTAATATTACCATTACTATTTGAATTATTATTACTATTATTGCTATTATTATGATGTTGTGTTGTTATTGTTGCTGCTGTTATCGATGCTAAACTATTAATAACATTTAAATTTGCTTGACTATTACTATTAAAACCGGTCACAATTGAATTTCCATCATTTGGTGAATGATTAAGTGAATTCGATTGTGGACTTAATTGTGGACTATGCTGCAATAATTGTTGACGAGTATTAATAATATCTCTAGGATGATGTTGATGATGATGTTGTTGCTGCTGTTGCTGTTGTTGCTGCTGCTGATGATGATGATGATGCTGATGGTATGGGGAATCATAACCGGATGGTGATATACTTTTTTGAGGTGATGATAGTTCATTATGACTATAAGAGCTTTGAGGTGATAATGGTGATGGTTGCTGTGATATACCAATACCAGATAATGTATTTGTTGGTGATGTATAATTATGTGGTGATACCATACCAATTGACGGTAATTTATCATAATTATATGGTGATTGTACACCACTTAAACTACTTAAACTTAAACCACCTAAATTATTATTACTATTATTATTTTGTATAATGCTATTAAATGAATTACTGATATTGCTTGCATGACCACCATACGCAAATTTATCTGACATGGTAGATATTGGTGGTAAAGGTTGTAATGGTGTTAAAGTTGCATACGATGATGATGATGTTGGTGAAAATCCAGGCGGTGACATACGTCCATTAACTGATGTTAAAGTCTGATAAGTTGGTTCATGTAAAGAACGTGTAAAATCTGAACCATCAGCAATTTCAGTTGTTGAAGATGGCGTTAATTTACCAGGTGATAGTAATTGTGAATCATGTGAATCATCATGAGGTTGTACAATAACTGATAAGGCTTCATGATGATGATGATGAGGATGATGTTGATGATGATGATTTTGCTGTTGCTGCTGCTGATTATGGTGTTGATGATGTTGCCGACTGTTTTGAGTTACTGCATTAAAAAAAAAAAAAAAAAAAAAAATTATGCATTTTTATTATAAAATAAAGTTGGGTTTAATTTTTGTATTAAAATGCTGAGTTTTTGATAATTCGGTTCTAACTTCGCACTAAATGTGTAGTGGTAATAAAGTACTCCGGTGATGAAAAATGCGCTTGATATAGCGGTACTATCTTTTTAGTTTGTTTTATAACTACAACTGCAAGTTAAGATTTTTGAGATATACGCGTTGCGACTCAGTTTTTATTTTTCTGCTGGCGGAAATTATTTTGTATTTAAAATAAAAAAATGACGGATTTAGAGGATTTATTAGAGTAATTTTTTTCAAATATTGTTATTACTTTATTAAAAATTCTTAAATTTATATTTTTATGAACTGGAAAATAAAAAGTTCTGGGATAGAAGGAAACTTTGCAAAACAGACAAAAATCTTAGAACTTTAACATTTGATCATAAAATACCTGATTGATGGAGCTGCTGATGATGATTATTATGATGCATTTGTTTATCGATACTATTTGGTGATATTGAATCACTGCTATTGATACTATTAACACTATTGCCACCAGCACTACCGCCACCACCACTAACACTAACACTACTGCCTCCAGTTGTATTTACATCATTTACAATAATATCAATGTTTGCTAATTTATGTTCTTGCTTTATTAATTCCAATGTTGATATAACACTATCACTATTATTATCATTTGGACTAATTTCAATAACATTATTATTATTACTATTATTATTATTATTATTGTTACTGTTACTATCATTACTAATATTATTATTATTATTATTACTATTATTAAGAACAGTAATGCCACTGCTATGAGCAATTATTTTTGTTGCCTGTTGATTTTGTTGATGATGTTGCTGCTGTGTTTGATGATGTTGTGAATGTGGATTTGAGGGATTATTATGCTGTTGATTGTTATTATTATTTTGTTGTTGTTGATGATGTTGGTGGTTCTGATGATGATGATGGTGCTGTTGATGCTGCTGTTGTTGTTGTTGTTGTTGTTGTGAATGATGATTTAAATTAGTATGTATTGTATTATGACCACTTGTACTAACTGATAATGGTCCAAGTGTTATTGATGCAGCTGTTATTGTCGCAGTATCTTGACATTCTTGCTGTTGTTGTTGGTTATTATTGTTACTACTATTATTAAATCGATTGTTATTTCGATTATTATTATTACTATGATTGTTATGTCTATTTATTAAACTTAAATGATTAATATCATTATTATTTTTATTATTATTATTGTTATTATTATCCTCTATTAAATTTTGATGATTTTGTTGTATTTGCTGTTGTTGTTGATGATGATGATTATTATTATTTATATTATTATTTGTATTATATTGAATGTGATGACTACTATTATTATTATTATTATGGTTTAAATGATTATTATTATGATTATTTTTATTATTATTATTTAAGTTGCACACGATTTCTGGTGATGATAAATCAATTGTTAAATCATCATTATTTGAATTTGTATTAATTAATTGTGGTGGCGGCGATGTTGAGGATGTTGTTGAATCAATTGATGTTGTATCAATAATTAATTGATGATGATCGCTTAAAGTTGTTTGTTCAATTATACCAGTAATTGACTCCATATTATTATTATATTATTTTTTAAAATAAATAAATAAATTAAATAAATAAATAACTAAATAAAAATAATGAAAACAATAAAAAAAAAAACAACAAATATAAATCAAAATTTATGTTATTATTAACATTATTAAAATATTTTTCTAAATTTCATTATTTATCAAATTTTTTATACGAATCGTTTTATCAATAATAAATAATTAATTAAAATAAATTAAAGAACAAAAATTATATTACTGGTTACACAACGGGCTTATACGGTAATTTTTTGGTTATAAATCTTGAGTTATTCACTTAATTTTTTACACTTTTTCTATTTTCGCATTTTTATATAAATTTTAAAATATTATAAAATTAAAAGGTTGAAAAATTAATAATTTTTAATTTTCAGTTTTTTTTTTTTTTAGGTTTTGTTTCAAAACGATTTTGGTATTAATTCTTTGGGTACTGGAAAGGATACTTTGGTATCCTTTTCACAATTATTATAAATAAATATTGTTTAATTATAAAATTTTCCAATTTTTAAGCCATAATGCACTAAATTATTAAAATTTTTAATTATAATTTTAGATTGAACATCTGCTACCGCTTTGTTATTTTCTTTTATATATCAATATAATTAATTTTTGTTAATTTATTTTGTTTTTTAACTGACTTGTATATTAGGTTTTGTACGAAATAAAAGCTGTTTTTTATAGTTTTTTTTAATAATATAAATTTTATAATATTATGTTTTGTGTTTTTTTTTATGATTTAATTAAGATATTTCTTGTACCGTAAATTATTATATATGTATATACACATATATATATGTAGAAACAAAATTCAGAAAGAGTTTCTTGTTCATTTTATTAATTTTGTTAATTTTTTTTTTTATTCATCCTAATTAAATTTTCAGAATAACTTTTTTATTATTAAAAATATATTTTAATAGTTTTTTTCATAACTTTTTAATATTTTGCGATCATATTTAATTTGCATTTTATTTTTGTATTTTTTTTTTTTCATTTATTATATTTATAAATATATTTACACTTCAAATTTGATTAAATAAATTAAACTTTATATTTTTTTTTAATTATATTAAAAATAAATTGAGTGCTAAAAATAAATTTATTTTATTTTTTTTTTTTTTAATTTTAATTTGTATTATAGTTTTCATTATGTATTTTTTTATTTTTGTTATATGAACTATAATATATTATAGTACTTATACATAATAATTATATGTATATAAGTTTTAATGAACTATAATAATAATAATAACAATAATAATATAATTATATATATTTAAATTATAAAATTTTAATTGATTATTATTAATTTATAGATTTTAAATATGTGATTATTATTAATTTATACAAGAAAATTTTTATTGCATTTTACTTTCACAATTACAAAAAAAAAATTGAAAAAAAAAAATAAATAAATAATTAAATATGGTAATATTTAAAATGTGTTATACAATAATCATTAAAATAAATATTTATAAAGTTCTAGTGGTGGAAGAAAAATAAATAAAATATTTTATAAATATAAATAAAATTTATAATTTTATAAAAAAAATTAAATGTTATACGTATATAATAAACAGGAAACATTCACATACATACATATATATATAATTTTCATTTACATATTATTATGTACATTATTTGTATATAGTGTATGTATTTTATATATTTGGACTAGCATATTATTTCATTATTTGCTTGTTTTTAGTGTTTTTTATCACATTTAATGTATTTTTAATTCAAATCACTTTTATATAATTTATTTATTTTTATTTTTATTATATAAATCCATTAATATATAAGTGTTTTTGTATTTGTTTTATTCAACATTCAATATTTTTAACGTTTGTTTCTTCTGTATATGTAATCTTCAAATAATCTGTTTGAAAAAAAAGAAAAAATTAAAAATATAATTTAACTTAATTAATTAATATATGTTAATTAGTTATTATTTTAGGTTATTCAATATCTGATAAATAAATTTGTGAGTAATTTAAGGATCTCGAAAATTTAATGCAGAAAAATCTTCTATCCAAAACAAAAGCGAGATACACGATCAGGCTGTTTATATCTACTTAAAAAATATCTAATTCTTTTATAGCCTAATTTTATTCACTTTTTGTTCACTTTCAGATCAGAATTATCATTATACGTTTTTATAATGGATATTTCATTTTTCCAATAAGATAACTCATTTTTTCAATTAGATTTTTGCATTTTTTCTCAAATTATCGACTTTATTTTTAAAAAAAAAACTATACTTTTTAAAAAAAAAAATGAGGTACCCAATACCGACTCTCTTACTCAAAAATAACATTTTACAAATATACGGTAGTTGTTTGCTTTTATCTCACTTGCCGAGTAAAATAGCGAGATAGACGATCACGTCCTTAATTTGCTATTTATTATAAATAATTGTAATGAATGATTTCTCCTATAATTATGTCCAAAAATTATGGACGTTAAGTGAAATAATGTAAATATTATTTTCGATTGCTTTTTTATTAAATTTTTTTTTAAATTTTTGAAATGTTGAATAAAGTATTTTTTTCCATAAGCCCTTAGATATACAACAAACTTTTTAATCACAATTTTAGTGTAATTGAAATTTGTGAAACGTTATATACTGGAAAATTAGAAGAATTTCAAGGAGCATTTGAAATTAATTTTTTCAAATAAATATGATGGACTCTTAAAATATTCTTTTTTAATATTTTTTAATTAAATTTTTTAAAATGTAACTTATGTTTTTAGTTGTTAAAGTAAAAAATCCAAAAAAAGATATGCAACTCAATTATATTAGCATGTAAAATATATTTCAAAAATAAATTGCATATATTTAGGAGAACGTGAATTGCATATATTTAGGAGAATTCAATGAATTTAATTTTACAAAAATTTGTTATTTCTGTTTGGTGGTTGTATTTTTTTTTTTCCAAAATTACAATTAAATTAAAAGTTTTTATGAAATTAAATAACAAAAGTATTAATTTTTAATTTTTTTTATTCTTAAATATTCAATATTCACTTTTTTATTATTATTTTATTCCTATATATTGGGGCTATATATGTTATAATTATTATTAAGAGATTTTTTTATTTAAGGATTGTGTGGTGATCAGCTGGAAAAAAACAAAAGCCGAATAAGTAACCTGCATTTGGATAAAAATTATGATATGAATATTGAGGTTCAATATTCACTTTTTTATTATTATTTTATTCCTATATATTGGGGCTATATATGTTATAATTATTATTAAGAGATTTTTTTATTTAAGGATTGTGTGGTGATCAGCTGGAAAAAAACAAAAGCCGAATAAGTAACCTGCATTTGGATAAAAATTATGATATTAAATGGCAATTGATAGTTTTCGTGAGGTGTTAATAGCTAAATTGGTAATTTATGTTAATTGCAGTGAAAACAACTCTATTGTACATTGATCACGTCCTTATACCTGGGTCTGTTTGCATTACTTTCCCATTTATAACAATCTAGGCTCGTTAAATATAGAAAACAGAATACAATTTTCTGGTTTTTTGGAAATTTTTTAAAAATAATTTATTACCCTTTTTACCGAACGAATTGCATACAATAAGAGAGGTTATGAGGTGGCATCAAATTTTGGATGTCGAGTTTTCGTTGGGAACGCACTTCTCCATAGCAGGAAAGCGTAAATAAACTATTTTAAGAGAGATGTCGATTTGCCGGTTTGTGTGTGCAGGCGTGTATCTCAAGTTCGGCTGAACCCATTTTGATGAAATTTTATATGTAAGTTTATTTCCACCATGGCACGGATTGATCAATTTCTGGGATATATCAGGCCTCTTGAACCTGACTTTTTTGGAAATTGGACTCTGGAAGTTTAATATTTAATTTCGGGGTACTAAAACATTAGATCTATTAATTTTTGGAACGATCAGGGGCTGGAAACCGAACTGAGGGCCAACTTTACATTTCTTACCATATCTGTGAAACGGATTGATGGAATTTCTTGAAATTTGATATTTGAGTTCCGGTTATTACCAAAACTAACTAATGTACTTTTCGGGGAATTCGGGTAGCACAAACCGTAATTCTACTAAGAGCCTAATTTACACATATCTGGGCATTTATCATATCATAAAAGCTTACTAACTTCCTTGAAATTAAAAGAAAGTATTTAAAAGGCATATTTATAAACTTCTGCAACACTTTTGCTAAACTAGGCAATAAACATTGCCATCGGTTATGTGCTGACCACATTAGATTTTTGTTTTGGATATTATTAGGCATTAAGTACATTGCAACGCACGTTCTCCTCTTAGCCTCCTTTTCTTTTGAATATCATCGTTTCTTCCTTTTAAATATCACTATAGTTTCGAAACAAAAAATATTTAATGGAAACCCTTCTTTTTTTGTTTTGATTCTTATGTAAATAGAGTATAAAATTATTATATTTCTTTTTGTGTTTGTGCGTGATTTGCATAACTAAATATGTGTGTGTTGCATAATAAATCTATATAGAATGTAGTAATTTTATTTGTGACAGATGCTTTATAGAGCTAATTGTACAAGGTTTTTTTTTCAAGTATACAAGTATATGTGTTTAGTTGAAAATAAATTTGCATAATTTTTTCTCGTAATTTCAATTCTATTTGACTCTAATTTGTACATGTATACATAATATTAAAATCATGTGGCAGGACTATAAATTTTTGTTTTAAAATTTGTATGGGGTACCACTCTCTCCCTCACCTAAAAAGTTTACACCAAATTAAATATAGTGTGTCCCTTAATATATGTTAGGTGGACTATAATATATGTATTTATTAAAATTATAGTATAGAGATGATACTTATATCTGATATTTTATACATGTACAAATTTTATTCAAGCAAGTTTGAATGCTTACAGAATAGGACACTATAGTAATTTAACTTTAACGTAACCAATTTTTGTAATGTCATAAAAGTATATTCGTGGAAATCCTTAAAGAAATATGCAGAGGTATGCATTTGCATCATGCTGATCGCATATTTTTTTGTATACAATTCTTTGTATAACAAATCCGTATTCGTGTTTTTCTGGCCTTATAGGAAAATGTCAATTTTTAGGAGATTTATTTCTATTTTGATATTTTGACAAAATATTTATACTAAAATAGAATTTTTTTATAATTATGTTATATGGTTTAAACATACATGTATAACATATTTAAGATACATGTATGTTTAAACCATATATAACAACGTATTTAAGATATTAAATACAGGTGTTATAAAAAAATGGTACGAGTATAATGTATTTTCCGCAAAAATTAATACGTTATATATACATTTTATATACATCATCTACAATACACATCCATATAAATTCTATAAAGATGTGTTAAGTATGCATGCATATATCAAAATATATTAATATATGTACATATAAATGTATGTACTCACATAAATAACTACTGTTTATATTGAAACGTACATATGTATATAGGAGACATTATCGCTAAATCGTTAAGTATGTTATGACGTTTAATATCGCATAATATTGTAGTATTTATTTGTAAGAATATTTTATATATATGTATGTATGTACATAGAAATATAGTGTAGTATGTATAATATGTATAATATAATTTCAAGGCTAAAATATAATATTATAACAGATATATGTATAACATTATTTTATGTATGTATGTATGTTTGCATTAAATATAACAAAATATAACAATATGCAAAAGGTAATTAAAATACATAATAAAAATGTGTTGGCCAAAAAAATTCAAAGGGGAACAGCGTCTTCTGGTGGTTAAAGAACGGTACTATTACTAATTAAATTCTAGTTTAATAAATTTTATATTAATAAATTTTATTTTTTTTTTTGTAATTTTGTCTTAATTTAGTAATTTTTAATGCACTTTCACCTCCATATATTTTATATTGAATATATATATAATTATGTATATGCGAACACATATAACCTGACATCCCCGGTTATAGACAATATTTAAAACTTAGTAATAATGTCA